TTGGTTCTCATCAGGCTACAAATCACCACCGTCTTTTGTGTCAATAAACTGAAGCGCAGAAAATATGCGGCCCCGATTTCACCACTCAATTCTCCTGTTTCACATTCCAGTCAGGATGCATTTTTGAAGGACCACAGAAATGTGCAGTTTAAAACCTGTCTAGTAAACTTCCTCAATCCTGAGGCACAGGCTTAGAATTTAAGTCACTTTCTTTTTTTGTTGTTGTTGCCTTTTGGAACAGTTTCATTTTCCTACTTGGCTCAAAGCATCTCAAATCCAGACAGCAGCAACAACACGTTGTATCCTGTGGTGCAAGCTGTGATTTGGGGCCTTTGGGACCTCAGTGCTGACCGCATGAAATTCCAGGCAGTTACCCCATTCCTGGAAGGGCTGGAAATACTTGCAGTACCTCACATTACCACAGATTTCTGCTGTTGAGGCAGCACAGGAACCCTGTGACTTTCCAGGCGAAGAGCAGAACTGCGCAGCCTCCTCTAGATCCTCACACACAGCACAGGGATTAGCAAAGCCTTCCATGAGCTTTCTCTAACAGACACTGCTAGACCATTGTGAAATAAAACACAGAATCATAGAATCACTGAATTGCTCAGGTTGGAAAAAATCATGTCCCTGAGCACCACATCCAGACGGTTTTTAAAGACATCCAGGGATGGTGACTCAACCACCTCCCTGTGCAGCCCATGCCAGTGCCTAACAACCCTTTCTGTAAAAAAGTTTTTCCTGATATCCAAACTAAACATCCCCTGGTGCAACTTGAGGCCATTTCCCCTCGTCCTGTCAGCAGTGAGAAGAGACCAGCCCTGTTCTGCTGCAGTCAGATTTCATGTTCATGAAGGGGAGCAATGTCTCCCCTCAGCCTCCTCTTCCCCAGACCAAACAGCCCCATTTCCTTCAGTCTCTCCTCATAGGCCATATTCTCCAAGCCCTTCCCCAGCCTTGTTGCCTTTCTTTGGACCTGCTTCAGCACCTCCATGTCCTTTTTGTTCTGAGGTGCCCAAAACTGAACGCAGCACTCGAGGTGAGGCCTCACCAGTGCTGAGTACAGGGGCAGGATTACAAACCCCTCCTTTCTTTTGTGTTAGATTATAATTCCCTAAAGAGAGGAACAGATTTACGTGAAATGTGAAGGCTGCATACTGCAAGACTGAGCTAGAAAATGTTCTCATGAACTTATAATTATTTGTGAGGTCCCTGCAGCAGCCCAGTCTCTCCGGGAAACCTCCGATTTCATGCTGGGCTTCAGTCTGGTTGTGCTACAGGCCTCGCTGTCCTGATCCCAGAATAAACAAACATAAAACAGCCAGAAGCTCTAGAAGAACAGCCCTTTCATGGGTCATCGGGCACTGGGACAAAAGCACTGACTGCACCTCGAGGCATTCAGACTGCAAAAATGAGAGTTGTAACATCAGTCCTTAGCTTTTCAGGCTTTGCAGACCGAAGTGTCATGGCAGCTCCCAAGGCAAAGCAAGTAAATAGACATATATAGATCTATGGAAGGAAAAAGCAGGCTGTGTGCTCCGCTGGGGAAGGCTGGGAAAGTGCAGCTTCTTCTGTCTCTACTCCAGAGAGCCATTCCTGAGCTGCATTCTGAGACAGACGCAGTGTTGCCAGGCCCAGTGTTACTCAGGGGAGTGGAAATGGTGAGATAGATGCCAATGGGATGATGCAAGCTTCAGCATCCCTGTCAGAATGGGAGTCCAATATGGTATCTGCGCTGTTTCCTTGGAGTTTGAAGTCAGATGTACTTCCATGAAAATTACACATTTAAGTAAGGGGAAAAAAATATGAAGAGAACTTCTCATTTCTTGTCCTATGCTTCTCTGAAGGGTTATTTTGGGCCCTGAATGAGGAATTTGAGGCTAGCATGCATAAAAAAGGAACGACACTATGCAGAGATAAGAAGCACAAATATGAAAGTTTTTCGGTTCCTAAATCACAAAATGGGTTTGTACAACACATAGGGAAGATTTCAGAACTAGAAATAACAGTATTGTGCCTTCCTAATCCCTTGAAGGTTAATAGCTTAGTAAAGAACAGTTAGGAAGACAATTAGCAAGAGTAGGTCAGACCTGGAAGAAGAAAATGAAGAAAATTCAAGCCTGTAGGGAAACATTTTGAATGTTTTAATTCTAAAGTCAGCTTAGAGATTATCTTTACAGGATTAAAATCTCTGACTTTATTGTAATAAATGAATTTAAACAGATCTTGCTCAAGCAAGGCTGGTTTCTTATCTATCTGTCATTACAAATAAAAGTGATATCACATTTAGCAGTAGCTCAATATCTACTGCTACAGCTGGATAACACTTCTTTCCAAAATGTCCCAGCATGCTCTGTAATGAGAAAATAACCAAAAACAAATGGTCTTTGTCTGAGGATCTGCATAATTGTAAAACTAAGAGATGTCCATGTAAAAGCAAAGAGATGTCCATGCTACAAAGCTGTTGCAAATACTCATATGCTTATTGCATCTAAGCTATCCTGTGTGAAAAGAAGGAAGGGACAAGACACTTGGTAATAGGAGGTTATACATAAAGCAAAGGTTGAGTGAGAAACAGTGTGTGGATTTTGAAGCTGGATGTGTTCAGGATGGAAATAAAATGCCAATCTTTGCAGCCAATGTGAAATAATTTTGTGGGTTGTCTGAGTGTTTACTTCACAATTTGGTAACCCTGTTCACAAGAATATTGTGAGATACTTTTTTTTCCCCCAAAAATGATATTGATTTGTGCCATAATACCCTGTGAAATAAAATATTAGTCACTTTGTAGTTTTTGTCAAAAATCACTAGGTAGGCAGAAATAAAAAATGTGATGATAATAAATTTCAAGGCAGCACAGACACCGACGACCAGGAAAAGAGAAAAAAAAAAAAAAAAAGCAGAAATCATTAAGTGGGATGACAGATATTGGTACATTTAGGGCAAGAAACGTGTTGGATTTGAGATAGAGATCTACATACCTGAAGTAAGGCAGCCTCCCAAGTCAGGACAGCAGTACTAATATTGTGAGAGCATCAGAATGGTAGCATTTCACACCAGATGTCCCTTCGTTTTTTCCTTTCTGCCAGGCTTTTTAATTTCTCCTTTCCTTTGTTTTCATTTCCTCGTTTGCAAAGTGCTGAGGATTCTGTGACTTAGCTCTTGGTGCTGCTGCCTGACATTGCAAGCACCGGCTGCTTCGACCACATAGGAATTGACAGAAGAGGGTGCTGCCGCATTGCAAAACGCGAAAGGCATTGGAATAAGGAGAGGCAGACAGCTCTGGTGAGTTCTGAGCATCGATTTCTGAGGAGAAGATTGCAAAGGACAGTTGGTTTCAGTTCTGTGTTGTGACTGTGGTTCAGCTCCCATGCTGTACCCTGAGGTCCCATCCTGGGAGGGCTGTGGGGTCTGTGGCTGAGCTGGAAAAGCAGAGATGTTGGAGTTCAATAGGAACTGACCGTGTGCCCACTTGATGGAGAACTCATCAACATGGAAGCTTGGGGAAAAAGGGCAAGATATATATGGCACATGCTCCTTGCCATTAAATCTGTGAGTGATTTGTCTAATCTTCATTTGTACTTTCTGTAGAGTGAATATGTAGTCTTGATTAAATCGGTCTTGTGCCTCATGTTTTACAGTGGTAATTAAGGTAGCACACACTAAATCTAGTCAGGAAACAACACATATCAACTCTGTCCTCCAAAATAAAGGGATCCTGTCCTCACAGCTCCTCTGATGTATTCAGTTGGATTCTCTCTTGGCTCTCTTGAATCTGAACTCACAATGAGCTCCAGTTTCTTGAAAGAAAGAGGGAAGGGAAGGGAAGGGAAGGGAAGGGAAGGGAAGGGAAGGGAAGGGAAGGGAAGGGAAGGGAAGGGAAATTATCTTCACAGCTCTCAGCTCCCTCCTGTGAACTCACAGGAACAGATTTTGCTGGATCCAAATGTTGAAGAGCCTAAAATTTCTGCCCAGAGCTCTATGAGAAATTGTGGAATTCAAAATGAAAGTTTGTGAAAGATGATCTTTTGAACTGCTTCGTGGAAGGAGATACACTCTGTGCTTCTTCCTATGAGAATTTGGAGGTGAAGAGGCTGGGTGATGGGAGTGGGACCAATCCTAAAGCTCACAAGGTAGCATTTTCTGCATGGACTGTATGGCCCATTCACCTCCAAGAACAGAGTTTAGAGGAAGAACATTGAAGAAGCAGTTAAATAATCATTTCTGAAACATTTTTGAGAAGAATTGCAAAAGGCTGCACTCTGTTCCTAAACTATTTGGGGAAATTAGTTGAGAAATAAACGACTTGTTTAAAAAAACTATTTTTCCCTCGTGAGACATGCAAAACTGTTCCTTCGTTTACATTTTTTTCTTACATTTTCAAAGATGAGGAGATGATGATTTGCCATATTTTGTCTCTTCAAATGGATTCCTAGATGACAATTTAGAAGGGGTACAATGGGTCTGTAGGTCAGTGCCATTTATGACACTTTATGTCATAAAACAGCTTGAAAGTTTCCCTAAAACAACAACAGAAGATATTTCATTGCTAATGGAGCAAGAGATGCTTCATAAAGATCAGCAGTTGCAGTGAAAATAAACCGTTTGGGGTGGTTTAAACAAACAAACAAAGCAAAACAAAACCTGGCAGGCTTTTTTATAGCAGCAGAAAACAAAGTGGGCAAAAACAGAAAGCACCCCCAACGTCCTTTGGGATTATTGGATCCAAGGTTAGTGTAATTGCATTTAAAACAACAAAACCCAAGCATCTTTCTTATGCTTTTTTGCACTGTTTCCTGTATACCTTTAGATAAACTGACTCTGAAACACAAAAGTGGATGGGTACAATTCTGCCATTACTGCAGTACAGTAGAAAGCAGGAAATGACTGCTTTATTCGTTGAGCACTGGCAGGAAATGCCCAACATAGAAACCGCACTTCTCAAGAGATTGTGCCTTCCATCAAAGGGCTGCAGGCAGCTTCAAAGTGATTTCCTAAGTGTAGGAAAAAGTCAGAGAGGGAGGAGCTATGGGTGTAGTAGGCGTGGCGAGGAAACGGAATGAGACGGGGTCAGGTTCCCTATGCTCCGAGCTTGCCAGGTGATAGGACAGCAAGCATGCAAGGGGTGTAGACAAAGCAGGACAAGAATGTGGGTATTTAAGTGCCTGCTACATTCAAATAAACGCCATTTTGCTTCACTTATACTGGGGGTCTGTGCAAGCATTTGGCCCCGACCTGCTCAGGGTCGGTCTCGCTGGGCCGTGGCGCCCTCGGTTGGCAGAGGACGAACAACACGAAGAAGCAACAAGTGGTGACCACGACGTGATCTGCCTATCGAGGGTTAACCAGCCGGCGTGCCCGTGAAGCGGAGAAGAGCCTGTGAGGTGGCGGCAGGTCGCGTGTGTAACCATGGAACAAGTGATTAAGGTACTTCTGCAGTTTTGTAAAGAGCACTGCGGTAAAAATGCTCCTTCGCGGAAGGAGATCGCCGCGGTGCTGTGGCTTTTAGAAAAAAAGGGGGGAGCTGGACTCTCCCCAACAAGTGTTAGATTCATGCAGGTGGGATTCACTCACCTCGGCACTGTGCCAGCGTGCCATGAACAACCAGAAAGCCGCGGAACTTAAAACGTGGGGTTTGATGCTTGGAGCCCTTAAGGCGGCTAAGGGGGAGGGTAAGCTTAGGGCGGAAAAGGAGGGGGGAGGGGCCTCGGGGAGCGGGACTTTGGAAACTTGCAGGTCCGGCGAACAAAGGACGGCGAGCGGGACGGCGAACGGGGGCGGAGACATGAAGAAAGGGGAACCGCCGGATCTGCCATGTGACCCAGCGGCTCCGCCTCCGCCCTGCCCTAGTTGGCCGTTATATCCTTCTTTGGAAAAGTTAGCTCAGACGGAACCGCCCACAGAGGGAAGCGCGAAAGGCAGGAGTCAGGTTGCAGATTGGATTAAGATTAAGGAGGAGGTAGAAGAGAGGGGCCTCACGAAACTGGTTGCGCTTCCGGTCGTGGTATCGGAGGAGGGAGGACCGATTTGGGTTCCGTTGGACCCGAAAGGGGTAGCGAGGGTGATCGAGGCGATAGAAAAGACCTACCCAGAGCGGTCCATGGTCCTGTTATCTTGGACTGCTTGTATCAGAAATCGGGCGGGGATATACGAGCCTTGCTGAGAGCGGCCTCAGAAAAGTTTCATACCCCTGGTGAGGTCATCAAATATGTACTGGACAAGCAGAAATCACGTTCATCTGTGGCAGGTGAGGTTGCCGCCGCAGTGGCAGAAGTACTGGTGGCACACGGAGAGGTTGGCCGCCAGATTGGAGATCGACCACTAGGACCATGTTTTAGGTGCGGTCAGCTGGGTCATATCAGGGCCCAATGCAGGAGCAACACAGGGGGAAGTGCGGTATGTCAGCTGTGTGGAAGGAAAGGTCACACAGTGCAGAGCTCGCAGGCCTCAACATCAGGGAAACATGGGGGGGAGGCAGTTTGTGACCCAGGACCCCTTTTCTCGTCCGCGTCTGGAACGAGCCGTTGATCTGAGTTTGCCAATGGCAGCCTTGTCTTTAAGTTGCGGAGAACGCCCTTTAGTGAGGGCTACCATCTCATACACCGATCTCCCACCTGACTTCCAGGGCCCGCGTTCCATATTTGTTACTGCACTCGTTGACTCTGGCGCAGACGTGACGGTCATAGCGGAATCTGACTGGCCATCTACTTGGCCTAAGGGGGCCTCCCAGACGATCACGGGAGTCGGGGGCGCAACACCCTCGCAAAGATCCTCTAATCAGGTGGAGATCATTGTGATTAATAGGGATGGCTTTCTGGAGAAGCCAGCACTGATTACTCCATTGGTGGCACGCGTCCCGGGAACCCTCCTGGGACCGGACTTCCTGCGGAGTGTAGAGGCTCGTATAACAAATTTATAGTGGGGGCCACAGTCTGCCAGTTGTCAGCGTGATATGCCATCCCATTGCGCTGGAAGCAGGACGTTCGCCCTGTATGGGTGGATCAGTGGCCCTTACCGGAGAATAAACTTGATACTTTGCAGGCGTTAGTAGCACGGGAACTTCACTTAGGCCATATAGAACCTTCACTTAGTAGATGGAATACCCCAGTGTTCGTTATTGAGAAACGGTCAGGATCCTTTCGTTTGTTGCACGATTTGCGCGCTGTTAATGCTCAGCTCATACCCTTTGGCGTGGTACAGCAGGGGGTGCCCGTGCTATCTGCGGTACCAAAGGGGTGGAAGATTGTTGCTATTGATTTGAAGGATTGCTTTTTCTCTATACCTTTGGCTGAGGAGGACAGGGAAGCTTTTGCTTTTACAGTCCCTGTTCGCAATAATCAAGGACTGGCTCAGCGATACCAATGGCGAGTACTCCCGCAAGGTATGGCTCCTGGGAAAGCCGAAGAAAGAGATGGAGACGAAGCCCCGGAGGCAGACAAAAAGCAAATCGGGAAAGCCAGGTGGGTACCAACCGTTGCTGCCGATGAGAAAACATACCTCTGCCCTGCAGCCAGTATGGCTAGTGTGTGTGATGGTCATTGCTTTGATATCGGGGGCTGGGGGAGCTCAGCTCTTGCCACAGCCAGGAAATGTGTGGGTCACCTGGGCAAATAGGACGGGCCAAAAGGACTTTTGCCTTAGCTTGCAATCAGCAACTTCGCCTTTTCGCACCTGCCTAATAGGTATCCCGCAATATACGTTGGAAGCCTTTGCGGGATACACCACGAACCATTCCAGTTGCCGTAATGACGGCGATCTAGCAAGCCAAACGGCATGTTTGATAAAATCTCTGAATGTGTCTCTTCCATGGGATCCGCAGGAATTAGATATCTTGGGGTCGCAAAAGGTACGAAATGGGTCACATAATGGCACGCGTACCTGTATTACCTTCGGGTCAGTGTGCTGGCAGGAAGGTCAATTCACTACCTGCGACTTGTTTGACGGGGTATTCAACGGCTCCGAGGGATTGGAAGGACAATTGCAGGCCCTAATTGCCCGGTGGACAGGAACAGATCCGCGGCTGAGGCCGTACAATGAGACCTCTTGGACTATAGTTAGCCCTACAAACACAGACGCTTTCTCTATCCAGTCGGGTTATTGCGGATATACCAAAAATGAAACACGGGTCTTCACAGGGCGCAATACAACCTGCTTGTCAAAGGGTGGGATCCCTTCTAATCCTAGCAATGGATCCTCATTTAAATGTACGGCAGTTTGGGACTTTTATGGGTATGGGTTCTCTTTCAAAAGGGGTGCCAACGAGGTGCTATGGAATAACAAAACGGCCAAGGCGTTGCCCCCTGGAATCTTCTTGATTTGTGGGGATAGAGCCTGGCAGGGCATCCCGCACAATGCCTTAGGGGGACCCTGTTACCTAGGGGAGCTGACGTTACTGTCTCCAAATTTCACGACATGGATGCAATACGGTCCGAACGTGACAAGCCATCGTGTTAAACGGTCGAGCCCTGTTCCGGAGAGCTGCAATGACGAGGTAGAGTTATGGAGTGCCACAGCACAGATATTCGCATCGTTTTTCGCCCCTGGGGTTGCCGCAGCACAGAGCTTGGCTCAGATAGAACGCCTAGCATGTTGGTCGGCTAAGCAGGCGAATTTAACGACATTAGTACTGAATGCGATGTTAGAGGACACGAACAGCATTCGACATGCGATGCTGCAAGATAGAGCGGCCATCGATTTCTTGCTCCTGGCACAGGGGCATGGGTGTGAGGACCTAGAAGGAATGTGTTGCTTCAATCTTAGCGACCACAGTGTATCCATCCATAAAGCGCTGAAAGCCCTGCAAGACCACTCAAATTAGATCCAAGTGGAAGACGATCCCATTGGGGACTGGCTTAAAGGTGTGTTTGGCAGCTTTGGAGGGTGGGTTGCGAAGATTATTAGGGTAGTTGCGCTAGTATTGCTTGTAATAATTTGTATTGCGGCCATTTTGCCATGCTTCCAGAATTGCCTCTCAAGAATTATGTGGCAAGTTATGGATCAGCGGATACAGTATCACAAGGCGAAGGGTCAGCTATGAAGTTTGCGTTCGCACTGTGACGGGTTAGTAGCTTTTGAGCATAGGGAGGGGGAGATGTAGTAGGCGTGGCGAGGAAACGGAATGTGACGGGGTCAGGTTCCCTATGCTCCGAGCTTGCCAGGTGATGCCCTGTGATAGGACAGCAAGCATGCAAGGGGTGTAGACAAAGCAGGACAAGAATGTGGGTATTTAAGTGCCTGTTACATTCCAATAAACGCCATTTTGCTTCACCTATTCTGAGGGTCTGTGCAAGCATTTGGCCCTGACCTGCTCAGGGTCGGTCTCGCTGGGATGTGGTGCCCTCGGTTGGCAGAGGACGAACAACACGAAGAAGCAACATATGGGTTGGGGGAACAGTGAGCATTTCTGGTTGAATCTTGAGGAGAAAAGTGGAAGTGTGAGTGAGTGGAAAATAAGCTTGAAGGGGCCGCAGTTGATGAGTGGGAGAACAAACAAAACACAGAATCACAGAATGGTCTGGGTTGGAAGGGACCTCAAGGATCACGAAGCTCCAACCCCCTGCCACATGCAGGGCCACCAAATTCCACATTTGATACCAGCCCAGGCTGCCCAGGGCCCCATCCAACCTGGCCTTGAACTCCTCCAGGGATGGACAGGGCATCCACAGCCTCTCTGGGCAGCTGTTCCAGCACCTCACCACTCTCATAGGAAAGAACTTCCCTCTGACATCCAACCTAAACCTTCCCTGCCTCAACTTCAAACCATTTCCCCTTGTCCTGCTGTTATCTACCCTTTCAAAGAGTTGGTTCCCCTCCTGTTTGTAGGCTCCCTTTAGGTACTGAAACCTTTTCTCTAGCTGAACAAGCCCAGCTCCCTCAGCCTGTCTTTGTAGGGAGGTGCTGCAGCCCCCTGATCATCTTTGTGGCTCCTCTGGTTCCTCTCCAACAGCTCCCTGTCTTTCTTGTCCTGGGGGCTCCACACTTGGATGCAGTGTTCCAGACGGGGCCCCACAGGAGCAGAGCAGGTTAATTAGAGCCGAAGCTGTGCTTGGGCTTCATCCCACGGCCGCGCGGGGGCGGCCCGGCCCGCATGGAGCGGATTGCGCTGCGCCCTGCACCTGCCGCCCCGCCCCGCCCGCCGCCCGCCCCGCGGAGGCGCTGCCGAGTCGGGCCGGGCCGCCTGGGGAGCGGAGCCGCCGCCGCCGGAGCTGCGTCCGCTATGGGGACGGCGTACGCGCGGATGCGCTGCATCAAGATCTTGCTGTTCATCTTCAATCTGAGCTTCTGGGTGAGCGCCGGGCTGCGGGCGGAGTGGGAAGGGCGGAACGGCGGCACCTGCGGGACGCGGGCTGGGCGGGGGGCTGCGGAGGGCGCGGCCGGATCACCGACCTGGGCTGCAGCGTGCTGCCGAAAACCGGCCGTCCCGTCGCCCTGCCGGAGCCCGTAGTGCTGTCCTGCATCGCAGGAGGAGCTCTGCGAGTTCCCCTGTACGACGGGCTGAGTTCACACTGCGAGAGAGCAGCGTGCCTCTGCGCTGCCGTTTCGTAAAGGTGCATCTCGTCGTGGAAAAACTTGATGGAGGAGGGCATTGCCGAGAAGAGATAACATCTTGTTTTCAATGATAACTTTAAATAGCGACCATCTCCACGACAAACATAACTTTGCAAACTGCAGAGGCCGTGTGAGATTCTCCCAGCATCCCCTGCAGCTTCTTGCAGTACTTATCCACAGGATGATGAGATCTGGTTCAGTGGCTTTGGTGGTGGGAGGACGGTTAGACTTGATGATCTTGTAGGTCCTTTCCCACCTTGTGATTCTATGATTATGAGTCTATGATGCTTTCTCATAATATCCTTTCAAATGGCAAAGAATAACACTCACTGCAACACCCTAAAGAGATCAGAGAATGCTGTTCCCTTTCTCCTGTCATAACAGATTTTCACTATGCTCACAGTTTCATAGCACAATTTATTTCAAGTTATCTTTTTCCCCATGTTGTATTTTCTCTTCTCATAGTTTTCTAGTTTCACGTTTAGAAACAGAGCTTTTTAAAACATCTTTTTCTTGCTTTCTGATTTGCTGGGGGAAAAGAAGGTCACACAATAATCCTGTTCAGCCTCTCTGGAGCAACCAGCTTTGAGATTTTGTCTCCTTTAAACACATTATACTAAATGCTTTTGCTTCTTGGTGACAGCTCTGTGAGCCCTGGGTACACAGTGCTGCTGTGCTCTGGGAACAGAATTATGTTGCTCAGCTGCAGCTGCAAGTTAGTGAGAGAAGGACAAAGCTTTGTCACAAGAGTGACAATTACTTGTGTTTTGTTATCTGTCTTTTCACTGAGATGGAAGAAAGCAGCTCCTCAGCTGGGCTGGGGCGTTCCTTTCAAATGCTTCCAGACTGTCACAAGCTCTCATAGCCTGGATGGACAAGAGGGTCTGTGCTGCCCAGCAGTCCACAAGCTGAGCCCGCTCTGTAAGCAGGGGAGCTACAGACACCAGCACTGGTTCTCTGTGGTGGGATGGATTTCATTCTTCACCTTCTTGGAGGGAAGTGTGAATTCCAAGCCATGTTTGCCTGCTTTCTTTGCTTTCTGTACAGTGCTAGCTGAATCATAGTGCCACAGAATGCAAGGTAGAAGCAAAAGGCACCAGGTGCACTGGGGTATGGTCAGCTGCGGGTGTTTGGTGACTTTGTTCAGGCTGGGTGGTTGCTGCAGACCTGAGCTCTGAGCCTCCATCAGTAACGTAGGAGAGCATTCATGGAATCCTAGAATATCCCAGCTTGGCAAGTACAAGGACACAAGGATTGAGTCCACAAAAGGACTGCTCCAGTTCCAAACTCTGAGGATTCCAAATGCTCCTTGAGGGCCAGCAGCTTGGGGCCATAATCAGTGCCCTAGGTGACCTGTTCTGTGCCCAGCCATCCTCTGTTGCAGAACAAGGGCACCCAGCATGGTGCAGCTCCATGCCGTCCCCTTGGTCCTGTCACTGTCACCAGAGAGCAGAGATTCCTCCCTGTGAGGAAGCTGTATGCTGCCATGAAGTGTCTGGAGGCCACATGAGGCATCCCCTCAGTCTCCTTTTCTCTGGAGAGATCAGACTAGGAGACATCAGCCACCCCTCACACATCTTGCTTTCCAGACCCTTCACCATCTTCATAGCCCTCCTTTGGGTGCTTTCTACACAGAACTGTGCCAGGTCCTATAGACCTGAGGCACTGCCTAGAGGTGTTTCCCCTCAGCTGATGTTCCTTGGCACTCCTGTTTGATCTTGCCATTTGCATTAAAAGGAACGTTTCCCTGAATTTGGTAGCCTCTCATGCTTCTTTGTTAACCATTTATATGATCCAAGGTATTGTGCACTGTACTAATCAATTTGCCTCCATATTCTGATAGGGAGTCCCATAGGAAAAATGCCCTGCCAAAGTTGGTCCAGAGACACTTGACTTTAGCACATACTGAAGAACAATAAGCCTCTAAACAAAATCTTCTCACAACTCAGCAGCAACAGTAATTCTGAAATGGCAGAAAGTTTTCCTCTTGTTTGGTATGATGATGGAGGTCCAGTTGGTCTCTCCATACCATCTTGTGACCTGGAGCTGGACTTGTGATGCCTACATGGAAAGGGGGATCTCTTAGCACAAAAGGCAGTTAATTTGCCCTGAAACGGATAAGAAGATTAAAAAAATGTCAATTAATATACTTCTTTCTGTTTGGTTTGTATCATGGCAGCAGTGGTCAATTACTGGTCCAGCAGCACTCCCACAGATGATGCTTTTCCCACAGTAACAGCATCTTGGCTCCGTGCTGAGGCCATGAGTGGCCTGCTGCCTACAGTATGGCTGCAGTGCAGTGGTGGATCTTCTGGTAGGAAGGAAAGCAGTATTTCTCATTGGATTTGCATCCTGTCTGTTCTCATGGGTGCTCACAGCCTCACGTCTCTGGCCCTTCCTCTCCCCTGTTCCTATCGCAGTTCTATTGCAATTCAGGGCGAATTGTAATGTGTGGAGGAGCTTATGTTCAAGGTTTGGAAGTCACTGGTAAGTTGAGAGGCACCACTGAGCTGAGGAGCTAGAAGAACAGAGTGCATTGCACTATGATAGGAGTTCACGTTATCAAATACTGGCAAAAGCTTCCTGAATTTTCTGACAGTGTAATCTTGAGCTATGGGATTTCAAGAAAGTGTAAAATGCCACAGGCACCTTCTTTATGCTCTCCAGCCAATTGTTATTAAAGTATTGACTAATCTGTGTGTTTTCCAGCTGGCAGGATTGGCTGTCATTGCCTTTGGTCTGTGGCTGCGGTTTGGTGGGGCTATGGCAGAGTTTGCTTCAGACAAAAGGTCTCCAGAGTATTTCTTCATAGGTAAGTTGTGACGACAGCAGACATTAGCCTTGGCTTCATTCTAGGGCATGGGAAATAGCTCAATCACTGAATTATACAAAGGCCAGCAATACCTGAGCCAGACTGCACAAAACCGGGTGTTCTGGAGCTGTGAGTGATGGCCTTCACCCTCTCTCTGCTTGTTATCAGTTTCCTTAGGCCTAACTGAAAAGCCTTTCTCTGCTTGTTATCAGTTCCTTTATGTCTAACTGAACTCTTCTCTCAGACTTGATCACTTCTCACATATCCTAAATGAATTGTGCTTATACTGTTGCAGTAGTAACTGAGATGGGTGAGAGACTCCTGCAACATAGAGCTCAATATATCCTTCCATAGTTTTTTGTGCAGCTTGTAACCAGAAAAGCTACAGTGTCATTTCTCAATGCCTCTGGTACCAGCAGAGGAAAAAGAAAGACTTCTGCTCCCCAGTCCTCCCTTTGTCTGTAAGCAGGGGCCTTCAGTGTGATTTTAAGTATCAGAGCAAATCCTTCTACGGCTGAAAACTGCACAATGCTTGGTCATCTCAAGAGCTGTTCATCCAAGAGAGGCAGGAAGCAACAAGTTCCCCAACCCCCACAGTTGGTTTTGGTCACATCTAATTTTAGGCATTTAACAATTTTTTTTTCCTCCCTAGGATTCCCAGTTATGTTTTTGGGAAATACCACCTGTACGTGTCTATAGAAGTGTTTATAAGAGCAGCTGTCTAGGATGGCCAGCAGCTGCATTTCTTCATCCACTGGCAGTTGTAACTTGTCTTTATATTAGAAGGGAGAAAGGTTTTTTGGTTTTAATGTTTCCACCTTGAGTTAGACTCAGCCAATACAATCCAATTTGTACAATTACTTTTGCCATCTGAAAATGCCAGGTGTGAATGAATACCCATTCAGCCATCAATCCATCCTGGCACAGTGTCCAGGAGCTGACTTGACCCAGGATGTCCTAACAGTCAGTTACAGGAACATTAACTGGATGTGCAGTTACTTTAGATACACCCATTCTCTTAACAAAGACCACCACCCTGCTACACCACAGTCTTAAGCCAAAGCCTTTTTGATATATGCATGGAACAAGGCCAGAAGCACAGAGCTGACTGTACAGCACTGAGGGAATAAATGGGTTGAGTGTTATGTCCAGCAAAGCTTTCGCTGGAGTTTAGAAGGCTGAATAAAACCATTCAGATGGAAATGTGACTGGGATCTGAGGGATGCTGCAAAGTGCTCTGTAGCATCTCCACCGACACAGAGAACCACAAAGTATCATTTACGTTTTCTCTTACATCTGAGCTGCTATGTCAGCAGCACAGTGGACCATTGCCTTTATTTCCAGATTCAATTTATACCTGCTGAATTTCCTGTGCTTTATCTTGAAACTCTCCCCTGCCTTACCCACTTGTATTTGATCCTGGAGTTTGAACAAGACGGAGGGAAGGTTCTGTCCTTCAAATTAACTACTGTTGGTTTGTTAGAAGCCAGAAAGTAAAACTTGTAGAGAAAACAAGTCCTAGCTTTGCAGTGTAGTGCTGTGTAAACAAGCTTTTCTTTGGTGGCGGTCTCTGACAGATTTAATCTGCTCCAGTCCTGAATAAGAACTGCAAAAGCTATTGAGAATTGTTCATTTTAGGAAGTCCTGGGGAATGTTGTTGTGAAAGTCTAGTCATGCTCTGTGACATTCAGCTACTGGGCTGATGGTCACATATATTTATGGAACTGTATGCTGTAATATGTAACTGCTAGCAGAGGAAGTGATAAGGAACAGGACATAAATATGTTGAGAATTCTTTTTAACCTGCACTTTTGGCTGAACTCGAAGGCAAGGTTTTGACCCTTTATTGTAGTAGGCAGACTTGAGCAAGACTGATAAAGAAAAAAAATAATAATAATCTGCTTCCCACTCTCATAACAAATCATGTTAAATGCTGTTATGACTTCTGAGCATCTGAGAGGTCAGCCAGTCAGAAATCTGAGCTTGTTAACAATCTGTGACTAAGGCAGTGGTAAAAGAATGGTGATGAATTCAGTACCAGTGTTTTAGGCAGCAAGCATGGCTGCAACCAATGGTCATTCTTGAGTGCTTTAGCTCTGTAGGAAATTTCAGCTCTAAGTTCCTCGAACATTTGCGCATGCAAACACATCTCATGGTGTTTCTAGGAGTTCTGTTTATTTGGCCATGTGCATTTGCTCAGTAACGTGCAGTCTGGGCGACAGCCAGAACTTTGCATAGCAATTCTTAATATGGAATACTGTGCAGTCCACAAGAAGCAGCTGCCCAGAGGGCTGAAGGAGAAAGCAGATTGTCAGCATGACCTGGAGATATAAACGTACTGCTGTATGTCTAAAAACAATTTTCTTAGCTCTACTACACTGGTTGCTCTTGTGATAACTTATCCTCTGTGATCAGATCAGCTCCATGTCAGTGCTTAGAACAACACTGCAGTTGCACTTAGATGTTTGTAGGCTGGAACGCTGTCTGGAATCAGCATCTTTTGGGCTACATCTCTGTTGCTTGCTTTCAAAGAGCAGCATATTCTGTTGGGTTTTATTATTTGTTCCTTTTTTAAAAAAAAAAAAAACAAAAAAAACCTGTTTTGAGCTGCCAGCTGAAGCTACCCAGCCCCTCTCTGTTTCCTAGTGATTTTTTTTTCCTGGATCGGAAATTTTGTTTTAGTTTAAAATAATTGGTAATTATATCCTTGCATTTTCCATTAGGATGGAGTGAGTGTCCCTAAATAGCCCTGTTCTTTACCAGCAGTTCAACCCCTGGAATAGTTCAGGCCAGGACTTGGCACTCAGGCCTGTTGAACTTTTCCAGCCAATTGAATGTTTGTGTTGGTTTGAGAGCAGCTAGCAGGCAGCAGTGTTGAGGTCAAGCACATATGTGGTGTTAGTTTCCCATTGCTTGTGGTTTTGTGTTCAGTGATCTATATTCCCCACTGCAGGTTGCAGTTTTTTAACCCACAACATAAGGGAATAGAACTGGAACTCCTTGACCCATGCAGTCTCCATCTGCTCTCCAGGATGTATCTCACAGAGAAGATAAGTTTTCAACTATATATAAGGAGCAGCCTTCTAAAATTGGGCATCTTCTCCTTCCAGCTCCCCAGCTTTTGGAGATCCCATTGCAGTGATGAGGCATGACAATATTTTCGTATTGTTCCATCCCATTATGGTTTAAAAAAAAAATAAAAAAGATAATTTCAGCAAAGGTCAACAGCTGGATAATAACATCTGAGTTGTCTGTGGCGCTGTACTGACCAAATGGGGAAAAGATCTTTTGCTCCTTTAATTAGTTATTTGTAATAGTGCTGTTCTTAAATTAAATATACATATATATATACACAAATGTGAAGACTGAGTGCCAGCTGAGCACAAGTTCAGCATTTATGAATAGAGAACTAACTTTTAAAGTGTCAGTTCAAGACATTTACTCTCTTCTCTTTGTATGAAAGTCTGTTTTGGCTCCGTGGGCAGCATGGAGGACAAATTTAGTGTACCCTAATAAATGAAGTGCAGGGAGGGTCACCTCACTGCCAGTAGCACTGAAAATGAAGCCTCATCAAGAAAGGTAACCACTGATGAATGTGAATGGATCAACTTGGATGGCTCTCAGAACTGGCAGCACTGAATCATTGCTTCTCCAGCACAGACAGAGCTCACCAAATTTCTGCTATGTTATGGTCTTTGCTCCAGTTCTGTGCTTCAATCCAGAGCCAGGCCAGCTGTGGGTAGAAGTTTCAGGGTGGCTGTGGCTTTTTCGTGGGGTCTGAGAGAACATGAATCATTCTGGCTTTGAACAGCACGGTTAGATGGTGCATGCCTTAGGATATGAAGTCATGTCTGGAGTTGAAGGATATTAGTATTTTTTCTCCATTGGAATGGGTGCCCATGCAAACAAGAGTTGGCTAGCAGTTAAATCCGTGTAAACTGCAATTCCTGTGCCTTATTCTGTTATATTTTATTCATGTATTTTGTAGTCAAGCACTGTACCCTTACTTAGCAGTATTTTCTCTCCAAAATTCATAGCCTCACAAATTCTGTCAGTCTTAACGTGAGAGCTGCTGACAAAGGAGTCTCTGTAGAGATGCAACACCACAAGTGGGGCATTGAGTGGTCCTGCATTGGGCCTTGCAGAGGCTTTTAGTATGTGCTTAGAATGTAAGCAGTGAACTGATATGTCTTTCTATCATCTTCTGTACAAGTTTCTTCTGCAGTTGAAGAGTGGTTTGGCAAAAGCTGATAGTGGCCCTGGGTGGAAAATGGAAGCTGCTGCACTGGAAATCAACTTAAAATATATAATCAGTGCCTCCTACCTCCAAAAAAAGAAAGAAAAGAAAAAAAAAAAGAAAAGAAAAGAAAAGCACCCACTACCTGAACAGTAGTGATTCACACAGTGTATGGGGTATCCCCTGGCCTACCTCAGAGAGTGATTACACAGCTGTATTCTGTTCTGGTCCCACTGCCCATGCAGAGGCAGCTGGCAGCACAGTGGTGTGCAGGCCAGAGCTGCACAGGTTTAACAGTTCAGCTTTTCTAGAAGCAGCTCCAAAGCAAAGAAGGCAGTGATGTTCTTGCACGACTGAATAACTGCTGAAGGCTGTATGACACTGTGTAGAGATGATTCTGGTTGTTATCTTTAGTGTGTGTCAATTTAATTTTTAATCCTCAGTCTAACCATATTAAAAATCATAAATGCAATGGTTATATGCAGAATTACATAGCCACGTTGCCAAGTGTTTTCATTTTACTGTCCATTAAATATTTTAATAGGTGTATATAGAGGTGCTGGGAGGCATCAAGTCAGCTTGTATCTGCAATTCTTTTTGTGGTTCCAGGAAGATTAACTACATAATATTTGTCACATTCACACAAAATAAGGAATTTTGTCTGTACGCTGTGCTCAAATTAAGGGTGTGCTCCAGTTCTCCAGAAATCCATCTTCCTTCAGAGGACTCTGCCTCTCTTCTCCATGTATTTTATAAATGTATCCAAAATATGTATTTACTACAGATCTGTTAGCATAAAAATGATTATCTCTGTTAACAAGCCGGGTAACTCTGCCACTCAGTGCATCGCTTGTCTGGCTGGTTATTTCCAACCTCTACACGTGTTTCCCATCTTTTCCAACACTGCATTTGCTCTGTGGGTTCCTTGGTGTTCTAACTGAGGGCTTGAAAGCCTCAGTCCACCCAGTGAGATATCTCCAGGAGTGTAATTCACAATGTCAGGAAAACCTATTCTGGTCATGTCTGGGTTCTAGGACTCCTGTCATCACTGCCTCTGGATCATTTCTGCCAAGAACAGAGCTGCTTGTTTTCTCAGCAGACTACGAACAGTTGGTGTTTTGTTTGCTGTCAGTTACTCAGCCCAAAAAAAGAAAGAGTCGAACTATTTAAAATGGAAAGTGACCATAGCAGCCAGGTAAACAAGGAACCCATGTGAAATAAAGCCAGAGAGATGGTGTATGATTGTCTGCTCTGGCTCCTTACGATAGGCTCCAGACTTTTATTTGTACCTCAGAGCTGTCAGTAAGATTTTGAAGAAAACCAGCTCTGTGAATGAGCTCTGCTTCAAACCCTGAATTGAGTTCTTTACCAGTCTAGGAGGCTGGCAGAGTATTTCTGATGGTGGTGGTGGTGGTGGATTCATGTCTGAAGTAAGAATGGTTTTAACATCAGCAGGTTCCTAATCTGCCTGGTTTGCATTATGTTTCCTTTCTGCTTCATAAAGCATGGCATTATATATATCTGCCTATCAGATTGCAGTGGGATATCCCCTTTGCAACGGAAGCAAGCTGACAAGTAACCTGGTCACTCTGATTTTTTTACAAGGTAGTCTTCAATATACCTGGTTTGAGGCAATCCCAGACAGACTGGGCAATGGGTGGATAAAGTCCTGTGGAGGAGGACGTGGGGGGACTGGTGGATGAAAAGCTCAACTTGAACCACAGTGTGCACTTGCAGCCCAGAAAGGCAACCATATCTTGGTCTGCTTCGAAAGAAGTGCATCTTGCAGAGGAGGTGATGGACCCCACCTGGGGCCTGCAGCATGAGAAGGACAAAGACCCATTGGATGGGACCAGAGGAGGGCAATGAAGATGATCGGAGGAATGCAGCACCTCTCCTATGAATTAAAGGCTGTAAAAGTTTGGGTTTTTAGCCTAGAGAAGGCTCCAAGGAGACTTTATAGTGGCCCTCCTGTACTTAAAGGAAGTGAAAAGATGGTGAGAGACTCCATCAGGGAGTGCAGTGACAGGAGAAGAGGGAATGGCTTTACACCCCAAAAGGGAAGGATGAGGTTAGATGTTCAGAAGAAATTATTCACACTGAGGGTGGTGAGGCCCAGCAAAATTGTGGATGCCCTGTTTCTGTGAGTGTCCAAGGCCAGGTTGGATGGGCCTTGGTTGGATGAGCAACCTGATGGAGAGGAAGGTATCCCTGTCCGTGGCAGGAGGTTGGAACAAGATGGTCTTTAAGGTCCTTTCCAACCCAAACCATTCTATGTCTGTTATAAAAATGTCTTATTTCTGGGTGAAAGGTTGCATGTGTGTATGATACTTAAACACTTAAAAGCATCTTTGGTTCTACAGATATATATATATATATATTTACATGTCCTCAGTATCTTCCAACTAGGAATAGCACTCTGAGTATCAGCAGTTACTAATCCCAAGCTGAGCATGGACAAGCTCTAGAGTTAACTCTCCTGAATCCAAGATGGAAGAAGGTGGATTTGAACTCCTGGCTAGCAAAACTGTGGGCCCAAGGGCAAACAGCAAATTCAGCTTTGTTTAGAGTGTGGTGTGAGAAGTTCTTCCTGTAGCATGCCTTAAAATGGAAGTTCTGACTGAGGTAGCGATTTAGTTGTGAGTCATGCATGTGAAATGCTAAGCCTGCTCCTCAGGAAAGAGCAAATCCAGAGTTTGGAAAGTGGTCCTACCCCTGAACCTCAGAGAACTTTGTCTTTGCTAGCTGGAAGCAGCAAAAAGAAATGGGAAGGTTTCTCTCCTGTTTTCCTAATAAAAAAGTCTCTCCTAAGTTGCCTGATAAGTAATTACAGGGACTGAAGTAGGAAGTAATATGCAGAAAACTGCCCAGGAAACGTCTTGGTAATTACGCTGCATTTGTTACCATGGAGATCTCAGAAAACGGCAGTTTGGGTGTTTGGCAGTTGAACAGCAGGTTCTGCACCCTATGTTGAAACTGATGGCATTTTTTCCACTTCTCCTTTGATTGGGGCTGGCCTTTACTCCTGATCTACAGGCATCTTTGTATGTCTTTCCCTAAGTGAAAGCCACTGTGTTGTGAATACATGTCCAAGCATTAGAATGCTCAGTCCTGGGAAGCCACAAGATGCTGAATATTAAAAATCTAGAAAATACATAATATGAGCTGCCAGCACTGTCAGCAGCAAATCCCACTCATCCACTGTCACAGATCTGGCAAAGCCATATTAATTATAATTGTTTTATCACTATTTATAAGAATGGGGTTTTTTTCCTCAGCAGTAATCCCTGGCACAGGGCATGAAGGATGGAGGAAGAGGAAAAGAATTGCAATACCTGGGATGGATATCTGGCTAATACAGCTGATACAGTGACACACCAACGAATGGACAGCAGGCAGGAGCCTGCAGTGGCAGTATCCTCTGCACTTGTCTATCCTCATATTTTTTCTGTTACTTTATTTTCATTTTCCTGGCACTCCATGCAAACTGTCAATTGCAGGGCTTTGTATAGGCTAGGTCACACGAGGTCTGATAGTAATAAATGCCTGCAGCTCTGAACATGACGTCAGACCTTAGTATCTTTCAGTTTGGAATTGAGAATGCTAAATGCTGTCACAAAAAGTTTGAGTAATCAGAGCTTAGAGGAGAGCTCACTGTGCCATCTAGTGTGCTCAGCCTGCAGCTCCAGTGTCCCTTCAGTACAGCTCAGGGAAGGAAATGAAGCTGCTTTTTCAGACAGCAGACTGGCATGGCAGATCTCTGTGTCCTCCATGTTGCCTACACAAGTCCAAGGCTGGAATTACAAGACACTACGCAGAGCCTTTGGTACTTTGGCTGGCATGGCATCCAGAGATAAAGCTCAGACACAATTGTGGTGGTTCGATAGAAACCACCATGAAGTCTGTTCATGTTTGCCTGTGAGGAAAGAGAATTGGTTTCTGTAGGTCAACAACAATTTGGCTCTGGTTTCTTTCTGTCCCAGATAAAGCCTGTATTAATAAATAAAGAAATAAACTGTTGGGTAGAAGTATTTTCAGCAGCTTTATAGATGGTAGAAATGAATGCAATTCCTCTTACCCTGCAGTTTTTGCACTACAAGTTCTGGGCATAGCTGGCATGCTAAGTCTGTTGTTCTAAGTAAGTGTGGGGCTACAGTGTCATCTCCTGTGTCCTGTACTTGTCTCAGGATTGCCCTTTGTTGGCAGTCTCATCCACAGATTGCTTCATTATGCTCTTAATGCATTTAGTCTGATGATCTACTGCTTGGTCTTTACACCATTAAATTTGTCCACAGGCAGATAACTACTTTGGCCTGTAGCCTCAAGTCCATTCTGCAACACAGTCCCACAGAGAGGTTCCCTGAGGTGTCTGAGCATTCCCCAGCACCAGCCAACAACTGCAAAACATTCAGCTGTGAAAGTCCAGAACAAGAAAGCAGTTCAGTGTTGCCACTAGCTGCTGCATGTGGACAGCATGTGTCATGAGATATGTCGTGAGTTTATAGGCTGTGCATGCAAGGTTCCTGGTCTGAGCTGCTCTGGAGAATGGAAGCTTGGGAGGTGGAATTCCTTTCATTTGTCTCTATGCGATTTTCCAAGAATTCTGAAGAAGTCTTGTTTTGTGGTGAGAGCATCTTTTCTGGGTAGCAGATATTATTTGTCAAAGCCAGAGACCACTGTTACTTAAAAATATGTGTTTTTTGGCAAAACAGGCATCGAACTTTGAGAAGAGAAGCCTTAAATTCTGACCTTGATCTTTTCCCTAGGACTGTATGTATTGGTGGGAGCAGGGGCTCTCATGACCACAGTTGGATTCTTTGGGTGCTGTGGAGCAGCGCGGGAGTCTCAGTTCTTACTTGGAGCAGTAAGTGAAAGGTTTCAAGGGCCTGGAAGTGCTGTGAAATGATTCCAAAAATTCTTCTGTCATTAGCGGAGGGATCTTTGCTGTCCAAGATCTGAAATGTCCTCTGTCCTTTTACTGGCTAATCCATCATCTGTAGTCACTGTGTTAATGCATAGCTTCCATACATCTCTCCTGTAACACCTTGTCATTCCTGAAACTACCATCTGAGCCACACTGTGCCACTTCCACCTTTGTTTTCTTAGTACAAGAAGCCTGACTTGACGCCCTTATCACTGACACTGTTCATCAGCTTACTGTCATTCACTGTGTGAGCTCTTGAGGTCTAGACAAGGATAACAGGTTGAGTGGCAGTAAAGCACACTGTGCAGAATAAGCTAACATAAGGTTCTTTTCTCCCTCTGCAGTTCTTTGCTTGCTTGTTGGTGATATTTGCAGCTGAGATCACTGCTGGAGTGTTTGCATTTATAGGCAAGAAAGTGGTGAGTAGCAATCTACTTCTAAGGTAATAATGGGGCAGTTCTGGCTTCCTATGGCTGACTGACCTACAGGCTGGCTCATATTCAGGAGAACTTTCTTCCTAGCAAAACTCTTTAATATTCTTATCTGCAGTCAATTAGAGCTTGTGTTATCACAAATCCAACTTCAGAATGGGATGCTGATTTTGCCCCTCCTCCTCCTCAATAAAGACTGTCTGTGCTGTTGAAGGAGCATCAAGTAGAACTCTACAATAAGAGCTCCCTTCTTGGGAGAAGGGCAAATGAATTCAAACACTGAATTTATCCAGCTAAGAACTGTTTAGCCAAAACATAGAATACAGCAGATTCTGACCCACGCAGAGTATCTCTGAGTGCCATCAGGCCACAAAACCTCCTATCTTTCCTATCATGTCTACTTCAGTTTACCAGGAATTATTTTCTGCTCTGGAGGTTGATGACTCAAGCTGGAAATCTGCACTGGATTGAGAGTAAGACTTATTTGCCTCTCACTTGGCAAGTCTGATTTCTGCAGGCAATACAGGAAGCCCAGAAAATCTATGAAGACATTTATGAGGAATACATGAAAAACCCGGGGAAGGTGAACAGGACCATCTATCACTACCACTTGGCTGTGAGTAGTCATCCTGAGCTTAAATACCTTGTATTACTACTCTACTGTCACGCTAGCATTTAAAATTCAGAATATCTCCCATGGAGGTAGGAAGGATAGAACTGAGTGCTGCTTAAAATGGACTTAAAATGGCTTATGGCTCCGTTTCCTGATGGTTGTGTCACAATTCTGGGTTTTAGATCCCAACTGATTCCTACCTTTGAAAGCTGGAGTGGCCAGGCTTTTAAATTTGAGCTAATGCTTCTGGTCTTTATTGTGCAGAAGATATGTCTACTATGGACATTGTTTTATTTTAAAATACACCAAAATGCAGAGAGAAATAGAAAGGTGAAAATCTGGGGTTTTTTTTCTGAGGAAAAACTGCCCAGAGGACCTACAGTGTTACCAACAGCAAGTGAAGTGACTGAACTCAGACTGAGCAAGTAGAGAAAAAACAAAAAGAATAGAATGCATGACTCCATTCAGGCCACCCAGAGAGTCAGTGTCTGAATCAGAATTAGGACCTGTGACTTGGGAATGTCCCTTGTGTCTGTCATCCTGAATCTACAGTGCCTCCCATGGAGACCCAGCCCTCGCTTACAGCATTCTCATGTTCTTTAGGGTAAACATTTCACAACCTCAGACCTTTTTGTCCTTCCTTCGTGGCTGTTATTTCTAAGCTGAAGAGGAATTTCAAGCATTTTGTGGGAGAAAGGCAAACAGGAAAAGCACTGACTTATTAGGGCCTGCAGTCCTAGCACTATATTGTCAGAATTCTGATATTCTCTGCTGGAGCGTTTGTGCATTGTTCATAATCTTGTATGTGATATTAGAACTTTCTGCATTTAAAAATACAATTTCCTTGGAGAAATCCACTTGTTTGTTTTGTTAATAAGATACTTGTGGAAGATTTTGTTCATACAAATTTGTCTGTTTGCTGTGAAATTGATTTTTGAGAACTTTGGCCCATGCAGTTGGAACTATCAGAGGTAGCAGTTGGTACAGTGAATACATTTATGACTTGATCAGTATTTTTTCTTTTTTTCCCAATTATTTGTTGTTATCAGTTGACTCACAGTCTATGATTTTTCCTTCCTTTGACTCTCTCCCTCTCTCATTTAGCTCCAATGCTGTGGTAAAGATAATTTGGAACACATAGGATTACCTTGTCCAGAGAAAATGCAGGTGCCAAAGGCAAGTGTCCTCTGCTCTGGTTGTTCTGATACCTTTTTCATGTCAATCACTGAGTAAAACTGGAATCACTCTATATGTAAAAGAATGAAAGAGTGTCCTTTTCCCCATGCAAATCCCAGCATGGAATTTCTGTATGAAGTTTAACAAAGCAGAAGCTGGATGCCCAGCCCTAAGTTCTAATGCCTGCTTGCAGCATCCCATGTTGCTGTGACAGTATTACACAGCCTGGGAGTCAAGATGGGAAGGATGTAGCAGATGAGGAGTCATAGAATCATAGGGTGGCTTGGGTTGGAAAGGGCCCCAAGGATCATCAAGTTCCAACCTCCCACCGCAGGCAGGGCCACCAACCTCCAGATCTGGGACCAACCCAGGTTGCCCAACCTGGCCTTGAGTCCTAAATAAAGGCCACTTAAAAGCTGAATTCTGTCAGCAGCCTGATTAATGCATAGAGACTCCTGAATGGATGCTCTGTTGTTATTAAGGATACTTTTATTTCAATTTTGGGGGGAATTTGATTATGAGTACTATATCAGTCTGAAGGGATGTGCTTCATGTTTTATCATGGCCTATCAGAGAACGGGTCTTAAACTGGGGGAAAACTGTTGTGAGAAGACTAATTGTGTGTGTCAGCATGTACAGACAGTAGGTAAATAGCAGCACATGCAGGTACCAGTGCCTCACTGGGAAAGGCAGTATGCTGTCAGAATTGTCCAACAAAGCAATGGTGCAAGAGTTAGAGCAGTGAGTGCAAGAATCCCTTTTGTGTTCATCTGCTGTTCAGAGAGAAGAGCTGGCAGAGTTGTGCAGTGTGTTTTCCTAGGAGTGAAAATCTTTCTGTTTTGTTTTTGAATAGAACTGCCTGGTTGAAATCCATAACGTAATCGATGCCAGCCTGCATCTAGTTGGGATTGTTGGAATTGCAATTGCTGGCACCACAGTGAGTAAATCCACATTCTCACTCTTTTTATTGGTATTTGGGCCCAATCCCCCAGCCTTTACTCATAGCTCTGTTAAGCAGCAATTGGTGAGATTTCTCAAAAGTGAAACTATTCTTACTGCTCTGTGTCTCCTCTCTCTGGGAATTGGTCACAACTGCACAAAAGGACTCAGATGACTTTGTTTTACCAATTCATGTTGTGTCCCTAGATAAGGTTCAAAGAATCTAGTGGTAATCTCATTTTGTTGTAATAGTAGGAAAGTGGTTTACACATAGACTGGGTGGAAAACCAAAAAGCCACAGTGGCATTTCAGCTATTCCAAAACAATTGCAGACATGGATGTGTTAGAGCCTTAGAGGATCTATTATTTAAATTTCACATATGGAATAGAAAGTATGAATCCTTTCTACAGAAAACACCTTTTCAGGAAAATGCCATCTGTAGCATCAGTTCAACGTGAAGGACATAACATCAAGTCACAGTTAATGACATCAGTGCAATTTCTGTTAATAACATTAACATCTGGGGACTGTTGAGCTGGCCTTCCCATTTAGAATAAGGAACAGTGAAACCAGTGTGGGCACAAAATCTTTGCTTTGAGTATCAGTGAAAACTCTCTTCTGTTAATTGTTGATGTCTTGAGGTTTGTAATGGAAGCAGTCACTTGCTACCCTGAAATAAAAGCATTCAGATTGCAGGCTGTTCAATGCAGTCTATTTTACAATTGTTTTGTGAGTGGATCCCTAAACTGCATTCCTTCTCTTCTAGATCTTTGGCATGATATTCAGCATGGTTCTCTGCTGTGCCATCCGTAACACGAGAGACATGATCTAAAACTGTCACTGCACAGCTGTGTCCAGAAGCTTTACAAGAAGCGCTCTTCTACCCAGCTTAATAATTGTAATGTATTTTAATTAGTATTTTAACATACTGAGAGGAAAATATCCCATTAGGTTTGGAGGTGAATTGTATTAGTGACAGTAAAACTGAAACGAACAAAAAAAGGGTTTTAAAACGTCCTTTTTAATGAAAAGAGCCGAGATGGCATCGAAGACTAATTTGATTTTTAATGTTTGTATATGTGCAATTAAGAGCTGACATATCTATAGGCATTGTGTAAGTACATGCATTTCTCTCATTACAGATATGTATGCACATTATCTGTGTATGTAGTACCTTATGTAGGTAAGTATGTGCAAATGGGATGTGTTGTGTGTCCACATTTGCATGCATATTTTTCCAGTCTCACTATGCAGGAGTGTGCACACACCCATAGGTTGCTTGAAACACTTTCATTCCGAGCCCCCCTTTGCCAAGAAGTGGTGGAGGAACAAATGCCATTTTAAAAATGACCCAGCATCCATTTTGTAACTGTTCCATCCCCGAAGAGGAAATGTGTTTTGTTTTAATGACTTTATTTTTACAAAAGGGTCTCTTCCAGCACCCTCCTTCCTGGGAGATCTTCCAAAGCCCCTGGATGTGGTCCTGGGCTCTCTGCCCTGCATGGCTCTGCTGCAGCACAGTGCCTGGATCAGAGGGACGCAGAGATCCCTTCCAATTTCAGCCATTCTGTGATTCTGTGACTTCACTGGCGTGCACAGACCTGAGTTTTGTTTTTGTTTAAGTCCAGTTGCGTTTTCGTGCAAGTACAGAAAGCTCTGTGGGAGGAAACAGTCCAAGGAGACCTGGGCTAAACAAAGAGGGGAGGAGGTAGGAAGCTGGCAGCATGCAGTCATTTGGGAGCGATTGTAACACACGGTGTGGTTAAGCTTCCCATACCAGCCTGAGACCAAAACCAAACCACCAAAACCTCTATGTGTTAAAGGGGCCACTAAAATCTTAGTTCAGAAGTCCCTTTATGCTGTAAGACTATGATCTATAATGCTGGTGCAGGAGTAGAACCTATGTTAAGAAAAGCAGCAGCTTTGTCCGATGCCCTGTAGAGCCTAACTGGTGTGTAGAATCCAATGGAGGAGAAAAAATAGTCAGGGAAAAACACACAGCACTTTAATATCCTCTGGTTTTGCTTCTGTGACTATCACAGCTTCCTGAGGGCTCCTACCTCAACCTCCCACCCCTTCCTGCAGGCGTAAGGCAGAAAAGAAAGATGGGACTTCTTTTCTAAAAAAGAAAAAAAAAAAAAGAAAAAAGTAGAAGAGCAGAGCCACAAAGTAAATTTTCTTGCTGGCATTTGTAGATTGCATGTCAAGTATAAAAAAAAATACTGTTCTTGAAATACCTCAGGGCTTGCCTTTGCGTTATTTGTTTCTATATTGTTATTTTTATATTCTTCATACTTATTTATGAGAGTGTTCCTTCTAAAGCAGCCTAGAAGGGAGAAAGTTTGTTCCCAGAAAGAGCAAAAAAATTACAGCAAGGGCTCAGAATCTCTTAATTTTTTCCTTAGTCCAGTTAATTTAGCATTTCAAAGAATAACTTTCTGCTAGCAATGCCCCTTGAATTATTACTAGCTCCGAGTTCTTATGCAGTTGTTCTTTTTTAAGAGAATGGGTCTAAGAGCTCAGTTAAGTGTCTCAGTGGAATGGTCCATGATGCCTAATGAGATTTGGTGTTTACAAGTCATTTATCTCTCTAAAACATGATGGCACTTCAGGTAATACGTGCAGTGCAGTAGCTGTGTTTGTGTGTAACATACATCCCTCCTGATGTTTGTCTCTCATTTCCAACAGAAACTCCAATTTCTATCAGTTTTCTCTTATTTCATATATTGGAAATGGTGCTGCTGTTCCACGTTTCCCACTTAATTGACACATCTTGCTGTCTTTTACATGGATGTCACTTTCCAAATTGTTCACCCGCAAGCTGTGACTATCCAGTGCCATTGATACAGCTGTGCACTTGTAGGGGAACCCTTAGGTCGGGGCTTGAACTGGTGATTGAGCACCTGGTGAAGGGGTGCTGTTGGCCTCAGGAGCACATTGTTTGCACTTGTGCTCTCCCATCTGCCCAGAAGGGCTGAACCCAATGCAGAGCCATCCTGGGCTCATCTAAGGGGCAGCCACTGAGGGGAGGGCATCTCTTGGGCCTAGGCTGCTTCCTGAGGGGTGCTGCATCGCCAGAGAGCCCCTTCACCAGCTGGGTGAGTTCAGTGCTTCTTTCTGTATAATGCAGCTATTGGCCTACTGTGAGTGCTTTGTGTGGTGTCACCAAGAGCCTATCAGCAGCTGTTTTGCACAAAAATAGCATTAAAAATTGCACTAAACGTGAACTGTGATAACAGCTGCGTGCTCAGCAACGTGAGCAGTTTCCAGGCTGAACCTCAGGTCCCCATTTGCAGAGAGGTATTGCATCACAGACCAGTGGGCTCTGCTCGTTTCAACTCTTAATGGTGCAAGTCCTCTATTCTTCACTGGCAGTACGGAATCATTTCCAAGTAACTGCACTGTGCATCCTCAGTAAGAAGGATTTTTAGATGTAACTAAATCCAACTCAGTACTTGAGCTGCTTCAGGTACACTTCATGCTCCAAAGCTGAATATCAGGATTTAATTAAACAGCTTCTGCTCCAGATTGGTACTGACTGCCTCAGAAGTCAGCAGAAGTGCCCATCTAGTCAGGAAAGTGGCAACAGACCAAAACCTTCTGGGGATAACTCTGAAAGCACAGCACACATCTTCTTCCTACCCAGTCAGCCACCTTGTTCTCGAGTATAAACGTGTAAATAGTTGATTCTTTTCTTATTTCTTTCAAGATCATTATTCGTCATTCCCTTGTCTAGTTTTCCTGAGTAACAGCCTCCAGTGGGAGCTTCACGTATTACAAGCTAACTGCAGCCTATCTTGCAGAGACTGAGCAGGAGCTGATGAAGCACAGCCCTTTAATATCCCTACAGTGAGAATCATATTTCACTTTTATACCAAAAGTGATAGTTTTATAGCAAGACATATTTCATGTGTATTGAGAAGGAAATTGGGTTATCTTAAGCCTCCAAATGCTCTTACAGCCTTCAGAGGCTGATTAACAGCATCAGGTGCTGTTTGTAGGACACCCACATAACGAAGCTCACCAATCTCACTTCTCTGGTCACTACTGGGTTCTCCACTACACAAACTGCTTCCAAGGTGACATTTGTTTCTACAGCACAAATTCTGATTTGGGGCAGAACTGGGATATTTGTCTGTAGCAGCATTATCTCTATCACAGCTCTCTGTGGGAAACGAGAAGGAAATGGAGCAATGCTTATCCTGTTGCTGAAGGCAGCTTTTGCTTTCCTTTGGTTTAATGTGTACTAAAGTGGAAATGTGTTGGTTTTATTGTCTTGAATTTGAAACGATGTTCTAATAAAAAATAACCAGCAATACAAGGCTCTCAGAGGCTGTCCTGGTGCCCTCCTGTGTGCTCCCATGCTTTGCTGTGATTTCCTGGCTGGATCTCAGATCTTTGCCTCTTCTCAACATCGTAGGACTGTCTGCACTCCCGTTGCTTGGTTATATGGAAAGACACCATGAGATACAGCACAGTCACCCAAGCGACTGACCTGAAGGAATTCCTGACTTGAGAAAGGGTTGTTGCTGGACTCAATGGTCTTCAACTTGAAAACACATTGCTGAAAGGCCAAAAGGGAAAAAGTGCTTTGAGAACATGCAAAGGGTATTTGAAATGATGCATAAGACTCACTCAAGTGCCTTAATTCTTGTTGTGATTTTTCTTTTTAGCACAAAAGAAATCATCCAACCCAAACCATTCTATGATTCTAGCTGTTTTTCTCTGTGCATTCCCATAGGCTTTAACCATACAACTGGGTTAACTTCTTTTTGCATGCATGCTGTTAGGCTGAAGGTGTGTCCATGCAGCCACGAGGGATCATAGCAATAATTTTGCTGTGTCACTTATTGCTGTAAGGAGGTATAGTTCCTTTTCTTCTTTCCTCCTGCTAAGTGAAAGTGTTACTGAATTGCAAAGCCAGATAACTTGTTCAGGACTTGATGGTCCAAAGCTTTCTTACATCTTCTTTCCCTATGCTTTTTATAGTTGTATTGGGGCTTGGGAAGTATCAGACATCCTCACTCCCAGGGAGTATTTTGCTCTGGAATGGTACCACATGCTGCTCTTGGGCAAAGCCTTTGGGAAGGTCAACGCGTGGTTTTAAGAACTGATTGGCACTTATCAAGGCAACAAAGCCTTTCCTAGGAAAAGTTACTACTTCTTCCTAAGTTACTATTTATTCCTAAGAATAAATAATGTATGCAGGAATGCAGATGATTTTAAAAGGGCAAGACGTATAGCAGATGTGTGCAACTTGCCTCCCATGCAAAGAAAAATTGAAACTTTCAGTTAATTCTAAAAAAACCAAAACTATAATGATATGTAATTTAATTGTGTTGTTTTGTAGAGCTTTTTCAACCCTCTTCTGGTGTTGCTGGAAGCAAAAATAAACAGGAAAAAAAATGAATATAAGATCAGTGCTGAGTGCACAGTGACTGTGAGGTTATCAGCAGGTTAATTCTCAGTGGGCACAAAGGCAATTGCTGAGTGTGGATGAGGACTCAAGCTGAGCATAACAAGTTTGTTTTCACCTTTCTGGCTGTAGGGATGTTCTGGATTTGTTACTTGCCAAAATAAAGCAAGTATTTACCTGGATAGCTGAAAGAGCTTATGTGTGTCTGCAGATGTAGATGATAGCAGCAGATAAATCTGTACCATTTAATGCTCCCTTTTAAGAGAAGAATCTTTCTCATAATCACACATTTGCAATCACTGAATAATTAAGAGAGCTCTACTGAGATAACCCCCTTTACAGGCCAAAACAAATGGTTGGGGAGCAGCAATAAAATAAAGCTTTCAACAGTGATTTAAGATATTATAATGTTGTATTTAATGGGGCTTGGAAGCTCTCACTGCTGCACGGAGCTGCAATTCTGAAGTCATTCTTACAATTCCTTGTTGATAAAAAATATTTTTACCACGTTGTTTGTGCATACAGTAGATTTGTTCTCCTGGCTGCTTCTGCAAAGACCTGAATGGTGATCTTGTCCCTCACTCGTGGAAGCATGGAAGGTTTTACTTATTTCCTGCTGGCTGTATTCATGTCTTCAGTGCAGCCCTGCTGACCTACCTGCTGCTCTTGGATCAGCAGATGTCACACTTGCTTGAGCAGATGCAGGTCAAACTGTTTTCACCAGTCCTGTTGTAGGTGATAGAGATGAGGGGAAAAGCTGCAACTGCCAATGGATTCTGTATGTATTAGAGGCAGTTGAAGCAGGTGGAAACTAGCTCTCCTGCTCAGTGGTTGGTGTAGTGTGACCACAGCTTGCCCCTGAGTCACCAGCTCTAAAGAAAAGGAAACATTTATTATGTTACATTTATTTTCATATTCCTGGGTCTGCGTTTCTCCCCTGTTTGTGTTCAGCACGTGTGATGGACTCAGCCCCCCAGCACACTGAAAGGGCTGGCTGACCTGTGTGGGGAAAAAGAGCTTCTTTCTGAGCTTCACTGCTCCTCTTCCAGACAACAGTAGCAAGGCTTTTCAGTCTAATAGCACAACAAGAGGAACTTGCTCTGCTAGAGCAAAGACACGAGGCGCTATGCCTAATGATGCTAATGAGCACAGGTCTGGGTGATGCTAGGGATGAAGCAGAACTGTGTGCAACAGCACGTGCTTAGTTCTAGCTGAATGCACAGTACAGATAGGGTCCTCAAAGCATCCAGTGTTACATACGTGTAAAAACAGTTGCTGCTATAAGGGCTGCAAGGCTGTGTCAGTCTAATTGAAATGTTTAATACTGAGAGCATGCATAGTCCTAAGATATATCAATTATTTTGTTCATGCAGTACCTGGAGATTAAGAGCAAAGGCCCATAGATACACAGTTCTTTTTTCTTTCCTAAAGTAAATTATAGCTGAGCACTAAATATGAATTTCAGTCCTATGGTTCTGCTTCTGTGCGTGAATATCCAGTTCATTGCAGTAACTCTTGTGATCCCTCTTCAGAATAAAACGTTGTGCACACCAGTTTGCAAACCTGTTATGAAATATTGTTTTATTTATGCTTGGTTGTGAGCAGAGAGGTACATTTCTGCCGTGTTCTGGTGGAAGCTCACATGTTACAGAGCTTCTGTGGCTTAGTGCAGTAGTTTGTCCTAACCTTCTCATGGACACAGTCACTGTAATCAGTGTTACATTTGCCACACTTGCAGCTTATGGCCACGGGGTAAGAATAGTAAGGGATGGTGTGATGAGGACAGCCCGGAATCAGTGCTGTTTGATACAGCATCTCTTTATATGTGCACACGTTTTGGGACAGAGCACTTTTGAGTAGCAGCTTCTTGCCATTGCTGTCCTACAAAGAAAAGAGAAACGTGTTGTTTCACTGAAGCGTACATGGATGTCAGATGTCTTCCTTTGACACGCTCTCAAATGTGCAGAAAGCAAAACCTCTTCACGTTTACACTAGCTCGGAAATTTGGGGTGTACTTCAGATCTGTTTCTTTGAATTTCATGTGACAGGAGCTCTCTACACCTCCAGCAATGCTCGCTGTGTTTTTGTGGTTTTAAGTAACTCCCTGCTCAGCTCTCAGCACTTTGTATTCCGTATTCACTGCCTGCTGACCAGGGTGGAAATTAAAATGCAGTGTTGAAAGCAAAGCTCATAGCGTTTGGTGTGCCCACATGTGCAATATTCTCCACAGCTGGCTGTCACAGCAGGACTTCATTGCCTTTAGCACCTGACAGATGGGCTGGACTAGCAGTTACTCAAGTAATTTACATTAATTGAGAGTGACAAATTGTAATTCATTTCTTGCCTGTACCACCCTGACCCTACAAACTGCAGAAGCTCTGCAGCAACAGCAGCAATAAGTTTGTTGTTATGCTGCTGTTATAATCTCCATAGTAAAAATAATAATCACGGGGAAAGAAAAGGGGAAAAAAAACAACCATCAGCATTAGGATTTGGGAAAAATGTAGAAAATTGTTACAGGAAGCTGGAAGCCAGAAGATAAACTTGTCTGAACAAAGGCCAGCTGTAATGCCAAGGGACATTACTAGGTGGAGACAAGCTGCTGATGTGAGTGCAAAGCCATCAGTAACTGCTTGTGGCTGACAAACCAACGTACACGTGTACAGCACAAGCTGTTAGATAAGTTGTAAAAGGAGTGAAGATTTTAAAACTATCATCTCCAAGCTAATACTCCTTTGCTGGCTGATGCTGGTTTTCACAAGACCTGAAATGCTGAGGGAACTTGAACACATTGAGGAACAGACTAGAATGGAGGCAGTATTTAAAGGGAGGACGCAGGCCCAGGTAAGACTGAAGGAGATGGCCTGACATCCATCCCTGGTCAATCAGGTTAGAGAGCAGAAAGTCAATACAGGATTTGAGCAGTGAAAATTAAAGGATGAGAACATAATTAATGCCAGTTGAGATGGTGTTACATAAAATAGGTCATGTCACACAAACCTGATTTTGTTTTTGGAGGTGATTACAAATTTGGTTGTTAAGGTAACTACGTAGATGTGAGCTCCTTAGTTCCATCTGTGCAGAGCCCTGCTGACATGGGAAGTTAGAGCTGTGGGGCAGTGTGCTGAATGCTGGCAGTTCTCCACAATTTCTGCAGGGTGTTTATTCGTTGTAATTTTTTTTTTACCCAGCCTCTGAATGCACTGCATTATAATCTCCATAGAGCTCAGGAGCCTTGGCTTTTCTCACCCCTGCTTTCCCATTAAGCTAAATAGAAACCATGACAATAATGTGATTTTTCTATGACGGACACAATTAGCCTGAACAAACTTTACGTCGCTCTCCAGCAAGAATAAGAACAACTTTTCTTGATGGCTGTTTTGGAAACCACCTAAAAGAAAGTAACATCCTGTACCCGTGTCATGCAGAATCCAGCGCAGATGGTGGTGTTGATGGCCAGGCAATAGGCACACTCCCGTTTCTCCACGTGAATTGTGTACTCTGAAGGAGCACAAATTGATGCTGTTTGACCAAAAGTCAGGCCAAAGAGGAGAGACATCATGAAGAAGGGACTCATGCTAGACAGGAGGGGGAAAAAACAGAAACCTTAATTAAAATTAGATGTGTCTTCATGTCCTTTCCTTAGAATTTGACAAGAACAGCTCTGACAGTCACACATTAGATGTAATCTCAACTTTTTCAGGCACAGCTTCACAAATTCTTTCTAATCCTGGAAATGCAATTGAAATAATTCTAACCACTGGACGGACAGAGGACAAATAACTCAAACATAACACACCATATTCACCTTTTCCCACTGAACCATATGACATAGAACTTTTCACTAACGAGTGATAAAACACTGTTGCAGAGAAATAGTAGTAGGTTTTCCTATCCTTTCCTGATAAAGGATTTGAGAATGTGACACATCAGAGGCCGTGAGCTCCAGAATTAACCAAAGCTGCTAAAATAATCTCATTAATTTAAAATATTTTTTTAAAGAAGGCATCTTATCAAATGCTCAAGGTAGGATAAAAAATAGTTGTGCATGTTAGACATTATATTAGACATTAGACACTGCTGTAATTTTTACTGTCAAGCTGGCTTAAAAACATGATGAAATGGGAGCGCTGGCAAGAATTAAATAATAGATGCAAGCAAATGACAACAGAGAACATCAGCAAAGAGTTCAAATTGATGAACCCACACTTAATCCCTCCGTTGTGCTGACCCCGTTTCCCAGGCCTGCTCAGGAATCCCAGAAACAAAGCTTTGCTTGGCTCCAGAACAGTTTCAGGATGTTTTCTTCTCTCTTTGAAACTACAAATTCTACATGACAGAGCCTACAAATATCTGGAATCACCCTCTAGTCTCTTCCAGCTGTCATTTTCCTATAACAAAAGCCATTCATTACACGATCCAGTTTACCCAGTGGCTGCAGTAGTACGAGTCTGGAAAGACCAACCTCTTGTCAGATGAATTCTTCCCTATTTCAGGAGCCTGATTCTGCCTTGAGCTGGGAGAGGCAGTGATCTAGCACCAACTCTGTGTGCTTTATACACTCCAGGCTAATTCCAGGCTTATCTTCCTGTTTATATAATTGCATCTGAATTGCTGCTTTCTTATCGCAGAGCCATCTATTGAAAATTCATACTAAACCACAAAGCAAATGTGATAGGAACAAACGTGTCCATAATATCCTAACCTGGAAATTGGAGCTGGAAATCTAATTATGTTAACAGTCAGTCTTTCTCTTGGGCTTTTAAACTAACCACTGCTTTTAAAAGGTTGGTATTGATTAATTTGCTGCATAGGACAGCAACGTCATGACAGTCAGGCTAGCATGGAAATGGAGTCATCCAGAATCACACCTGACTAATTCTACCTTTATGTTTTTTGGAAAATCCAGCTCATTCAGTATGTTCGTTACCTGGCAGGCACAAATGAGAGATGCAGTGCTATATACATAAAATAAATCTCAAATCCAAGCAATTGATTGCTTTGTAGCGTGGATGGGTAAAGCCTCACTTATTTACTCAAAAAAAAAAAAAAACACCAAAAAAAAAAGAAACAATGATAAAAAGCCATGCAGGCAAATTATTGAGCCTATTGAGCAAGTACTGAAGTGAAAACGATTCACTGAAATACTGAGGATCAATTGGTTTCGCTTTGAGATGCCGCTTTTTGTCGCACGGTGAGAAGCAAAATGTTGTACCAATGTCATTGAAACTAAAATATCCTCCAATGGGGGAATGTTCCTGGTTGGGGCTTTGAGAAATACCAAAGAGGAGCACAGTGAGGAGGGGACTGAGTTAGTATGCATGTCTTGCATTGATTTAGCACGGAGCCACTGTAATCTACTGGTTCATCCATGTCTGGCCAACCTTCTCACTGTGTCCTTCACCACAGCTCTGACACCGTGATTCACCTCCCTGCCATCTGGACTTGGCTTTTATGCGTGCCTTAGGCAGGTCAGCCACGTTGTTGTCTTACATGGCCATAAGGAAGATGAGAAAGTTGAACAACACGTTGTGTTGGGCTGTTGGAGGAGCGAGCCAGACAGTCCTAACAAACATTTACCTAATTCCTGAGTGATATTGTCTCCTTTACCAGTGGTTTCAGACTGCTGCATGCAACTTTGTGTCCTAAGCTAATTTTCTGTGGGATTTTGTGTATAATGTAATGAAGTTCTTGTTCATTTAGGATTAGCCAAATATTTGCTGTTTTGATGGAGTCTTTAATTTTGGGTTAATCTCTACCATGGCTTCTCAGGCAGCTTGTAGACATGAACATGGTATTGTTTGTGTACTCAGTAGCATCTGTCCAGCTGGACCTGGCAACAGAATAGAAGATTTTGCTACTACTCCTGCATGTTATTTAGCTTTATATCTTTCTGAGCTGTTTGAAATGTAGTTAGAAGTAAAGGTTGTATATACAGTATAAGCATCCGAACACACGTAGACAATGATATGTGTGTCATGCATACGTGCATGATAGATTTGTGTGGGTTTGGTTGTATAAAACTTCAATCAAAGGAAAAGATTTCACATTGATTTTGGTAGATGGAGCCGTTTTGTATACAGAAAGAACCAGACATCCAGGTTTAAAGTGCCTTCAATGTATCCTAACTATTTTGCATGTAGAAAGAGGATGGTAGATGGAAAAGAGCATGAAGGCAAGTATCCTTTACTGCTCTGAAGTGCCAGCTTTCTCAGTTCAAGAAAAATGAGTGTGATTGACTGGGAGCGGGATGCAGGTTGGGGAAAAAAGGGTTCTGAATTTGCTGTGAGAATATTTAGTGAAATGTTCTCCTCTGGAAACATGGATAGCCAAGAAAAGAAAAAAAAAGAAACAAGAAATGTTTGCAAGTATATTTTGGTGAAGATAAGAAAGATGATACAGCAGTAAAAACGATAACGATGCAGAAAAGGGGAAAACAAACAACCATCAGCATTAGGATTTGGGAAAAATGTAGAAAACTGTTACAGAAAGCTGGAAGCCAGAAAATAAACTTCTGTCAGAACAAAGGCCAGCTGTAATGCCAAGGGACATTACTAGGTGGAGACAAGCTGCTGATGTGAGTGCAAAGCCATCAGTAACTGCTTGTGGCTGACAAACCAGCGTACACGTGTACAGCACAAGCTGTTAGATAAGTTGTAAAAGGAGTGAAGATTTTAAAACAAGACCTGAAATGCTGAGGGAACTTGAACGCATTGAGGAGCAGGCTAGAATGGAGGCAGTATTTAAAGGGAGGACGCAGGCCCAGGTAAGACTGAAGGAGATGGCCTGACATCCATCCCTGGTCAATCAGGTTAGAGAGCAGAAAGTCGATACAGGATTTGAGCAGTGAAAATTAAAGGATGAGAACATAATTAATGCCAGTTGAGATGGTGTTACATAAAATAGGTCATGTCACACAAACCTGATTTTGTTTTTGGAGGTGATTACAAATTTGGTTGTTAAGGTAACTACGTAGATGTGAGCTCCTTAGTTCCATCTGTGCAGAGCCCTGCTGACATGGGAAGTTAGAGCTGTGGGGCAGTGTGCTGAATGCTGGCAGTTCTCCACAATTTCTGCAGGGTGTTTATTCGTTGTAATTTTTTTTTTACCCAGCCTCTGAATGCACTGCATTATAATCTCCATAGAGCTCAGGAGCCTTGGCTTTTCTCACCCATGTGTTACAGAGTTATCTGGCCAAGTATTAAGAATGGAAATTTCTTTTAGAAGTGCAATGGATTAGTGTGAGTGGACCTTCAGACTAATGAGACTTCTGCTCCTTGTACCCACATTAGCATTGTACTGCTATGGGTACAGAGACAGTCTCTTTCCTAGTGCCTGCTCTAAGGCATCCCTTAGCCTGCCTGCACATCAGAAAGGCACTGAGTATCACTGGAGTTGTGTTCCTGCTTCTTCAGTACTTTACACAAACTGTTAAGCTGGTAGAAAAACATTTCCCAGATTGTTCTGATGTGATCATAGACTTCTTTCTTTCACTGCTGACCTCTCTAAACATTTACTGGGGTGAGAACCCAGAACTTTCTGGGAACAGCAGGACAATGTGGCAGCACAATGAAGTACTGTGTGATGACCTGTGAGTGCAGAAAGCTGCTTTCCTACAGGTTGCTGAAATTCATAGTTCAGTATCTGATGCTTATGGATCCATTTCTTTGGTTGCCCCCCTGCTGACCTGCAGACTATTTAGAGATGCAAAGTTCAATGCGCTTTTACAGCCGTCAGCTTTGTAGCTGTTTTCTGGAACAGCCAGTTGTGCTTTAAATTATTTATCTTTAACCTTTCTCTTAACTAAACCATTCTATTCAGTCGCATCACTTATTTTACACTTTCATTAAGTGAAAGACAGTATGCTGATTTCTGTAAGAAGTGTTGGAAGTGATCTGTGTAAATGGAATTAAGGAAGCATAAAGTTCTTGGGTTTGTTACCTCCAGAGGTCTACAATGAGCCAGAGAAACTCAGCGCGTGGTGTGTAAAAACATAACAGGATTCTCTATCACTGACCAGTGCCTAAAGGAAAAGTAAGAACAGTGAAGATAAGTTACCATAAGTCATTCCTAGTCCTGTTAGTAGTACAACACATGGTGGGTTAGTGTATAGAGCAGAATGAGCCAGTCTTAATTCCACTGCAGATAGGCATACAATACTGTGGACATTAAAACTGAAACATGTCCATCCTTCCAGACAACAAACTCAGAGGCTATGCTGATTGCAAATAAACAGAACAAGACAAAGCCTATTAGATTTCTAGCAGATTAGTATTCTGGTAGAGGAACTATTTCTGACTCCATCCTACTACAGGCCTCCTTAATATGCTGCCGTTGTTTTTTTTCCATAGGTTTTGCATTTAAACAGGCTGTGGCTGTTGAATTTTCAAAGCTCATCTGTCTATTGCCAGTCTCTCTGTGCCAGCTGGAAGTGTAGCTCTTATCTTTTAAATTAGTAGATTCACAGATGACCGTTCTTTCTTTCCTAGGATTAGCTGCAGCATCTCCTGTCAAGCACAGATTAAAGGGCATCTCTTTTCTCTGCATGTGGTACGACAACAATTTCCTCTTACAGTCTTAAAATGCTTCATAGTCCTATTAGTTGTTGTGGCTTGTATGATAGACTGGTTATGTTTCATTGTGGAGCACTGGATATGTCAGTTCCTGTTATTCTGAGATAAACAGTGTCTACATGCAGGACAAAACTAAAAAACAACAGCACAGACAGTTGTCAGTTTCTCGTGGTTGTAGTGCTGTTCTGATCTGACTGGCAATCCAAGAGGCAGGCAGTAGGTAATCCAAATCTTCATATGGAGACTTGGTGCTATGCAAGAACACTTCTTTTTTCAGATAAAAATGTAAGTTCTATCTGCTCAGTGTGAACACTGGTTTATGTTTCTCTCTCCTCTTAACAAAATTAAATACTTTAATAGATAGGAACAGAAAAGGCTCTAGGAAGTCAGTGATGACCATTAATACTGTGATTTGCACTGTGTTTTTGTTGTTAGAGTCCTTTAATATCTTTATAAATTTTCTTTAATGCTTTTGGTTTAGAAATTCAGTTGTCAAATGGAGTGAGTCTTGAAACTGCAAGTTCTTTAAGATTGTTTGGATTTCCTGCATTCCCTTTTGTGCTCTCTGCACTTTCAGCTGCACAAAAGAATGAAATACAAGTTTTGCTGCCCACTCCAGGAATTTCTGTTAATATTTTTAAGATGTCTTGTTATTCTTAGGCTCTGAAGCAGGGTCATTTTTTGTTGTTGTTGTTTTAATAATTGTGAAACCAAGATTAATTAGGGATTCATGCAGAAATCAATGTAATTCTATGCTTACCTAGCAGAAGCTGTTAGTTCTTGGGAAAGCTGCCCTGTGATTTATATCTGTGCCCTAATAAATAAAGGATCAACATACGGTCCCACACTGTACACTTTGAGATCAACAATTTAATGACATCTTAACACTGGTTACAATCTTAAACTATGTGTACGTATTTTGTTCCTAGTGATGCAGAGATCTTCTATTGAAAATAGAATTTTAGAAGTTTCAAAACTATTCTAACATAGGAGGAAGTAGCTACTGGCAACAAAACACTCAAAAAGAAGAAAATGCAAGAGAACTTTGGGTAAAGATGCTGCACATTAGCTGCTTCAGCATTTCATTTACTAAATAATATCATTTTGTGAATTAAGAAAGAGAGAATAAATTTAAAAGAACAAAACTGAATTTCTTTCAAGCCAGCATTTCTAGTAACAGTTTTTTTCTTTTTCTTTTCTTTTTTTTGCAACAGTTTTTTTTAATTATTCTCATTTCAATATTAAAATGTCTCCAGACTGTTTATAACACGAATAAAACACTGAAAATGCTCTGCAGATTGTAGTTATATAAGGACTATCTGAATCAAGGAAATTTGTGTATTAAACATACTGAATTTGGCAGTAAATGCAACAAAGTACTAATGCTCAAAGAATACTGAGTTGTCCTAATCAAATAATGTTAGGGCTCTGCTCTTTTTTTTTAAGAGAAGAGTTTTTCAGCGTCTTTAATTTTTCTCTTCCTGTCCATTTTGGAAACTGCAGTCCATCCAGTCTCCCTCACTTTTCTCATAGTTGCAAGCTTTAGTGCAGAACTTGGAGCTTTCAGGTTTGATGTAGTTGGTTTCTAAGAAAAAAAAACAAAGCCATCCAATAGTTTATAAAACAAATATGATCTGCTCTTCATTTTGATCTAAATAAAAGGGAACGTACCTGTTTTGGTGTCATTGCATATAATTGTGAAGCTTGTGGATAATCTTGGTATAATTTTTTAAATACTTCTTCATCTGAAACAAGGCTCTTAAATTAAAAATAGAAAGGTTATTTCCTTATACTACATTCAAAAATCTCTTTTCTTTCCCCTTAGGAATGAGTATGAAAAAGAAAGTATGAAACCTAAACAATTCCATACAAACAATGTAAAAATTCATTATAAGATTGGTATTTTTTGTCATAAAGTTACTAATTATTTATAAAATTCCAGAATGAGACAATTAAATAATAATATCCTCATAAATTATCTTATGTACAGAAGCCTTATTAAATCCTCAGATATAGCAGTATGCATAAAGAACTGTTAACCATGCAATTTGTTCTGAGTTTTACCAGAAGGTCGCTGTGTTCAGAGCTATCTGACTGAGCATCCAGCTGCAGAAGCACTTTTTGCTTTTTCCTCTGTTCTGAAATCAGACCTGAGCTTTCACTTTGCATTTTATGTACTGGAGGAGTCTTTACAGTGTATGTCTGGGAAAAAGATAGCATTTAAAATTACATTTTCAGTGGTAATCATGGAATCCAACACTAAACTCATAACCCAGTTTACAGACTCATATCAAGGAATGATTGCCTTTCCATTCAAAACTTGAAACAAAGTCATGCACAGAAATAAAAAAAAAAAGGAGGAAAAAAAAGCAGCAGTTGCAGAAGTACTGAGCTTTATGGCACACTATATCTAATCTTTTTAAGCTTATCTGCAGAAATTCAGTTGTCAGTTTGAACTGTAGTCACTATGGACAGACTATAACCAACATTCATGTAAATGCAAACAAGTCTGAAGGAGAAAGCTTTCAGAAAGATATTGATAGTGAGTGGCATCAAAAGCAAGACTGGTTTTATTTCAGTGGTTCTTACACTGGATGTTAAGCAGAAGGGAAAAATAGAGTCAGCGAAGTAAGAATGATTCATTAGTGTGAGTTACAAACCTTCAACGATCGTCTGACCAAAGGACTCTGTAGAAATGCTCGAGGAGATGTTTTTGTACTTTCCATCATGCTGGTTTTTATGGGAATATCACTCTGAGAGAATAGTTTTTTTACATTAATAGATGCAGAGTCTGGATCTAAATGAGGTTTAGGAGTCTCAGAAAAATGAGTTTGTATTTTCTAGAATTAAGAAACGGTTGAAAAACATTTCAGTGCCTTTTGTCCAGAATGTATTATTTATCTTATTTAACTTTATATTATTTAACTTCAATTAGATTGCTTATGTACATATCACCCAATTTTAAAATTTTTTAATGAAGTTACAACTACCTTGTCCTTCTTTTCAGTTTCAGGAGCCCTACTTTTTGAGAGTTCTTTTGCAAGCTTCTCCTAAAAAGAGAGTAAATTTTTTATTTGTATTTAGCTATTAAATTTTTTTAGCTATTAAAAATCTTGTTGTTGTTATTACAGAAGTTCACACAAATATATGATCCAGGTTTAGTGCAGTTGCATTTGAAAAATATGACTTTTGTATTCCTGGTATTATTTCTTATACAACTTTTCCCATTTCTGATGGACAGTTCTTCTTGAGGTTTTTAATCTCTCCATGCTTCCCTCACTCATATTCAAGAATCATGAAGAACTTTCACCACCAGAAGGCATGATGACTTCAGAGAGCGTTAAGCTCTGATTTCAAGACTGCAAGACCTAGAATCAAAAACTCATTTCACACCTGTCATTGCTGCAGCATATGTGCCTGGGCCAAGCATGTCACCCATAGTGCTACATTAAAAAAAAAAAAAAAAGAAAAAGAAATACCTTGTTTTCAGTTTCTGCTTTAAGCTGTTCCTTAAGGGATGACAGTTCACTTTTCAAACATGATAGTTCTGTTTCCTGAAACCAATTAGATAATGGAAAGGGTTAGCTATGCTTAACCTGGAAAAAAGAAAACAGTCTGAAAGAGATGTTAATTCATAGTGATATTCAGTATAAACAAAGAAAATTCAATTTGCTCAAATAGAGTAGTTTATCCATAAAGCTAGTATGGTGAAAGGTATTTATCTCCCTTTGTGAGATGATTCTAGCACTAGAATAACAGATGAACACAGAGTCAACTTTTCCTCGTCTAAGAATAAATTAAAAAGATTTTTAAAAAATGTGTTGACTTGAGTCACAGTTTCTATAAAAGTAAAGAAATATTGTATGAAAGGAAATGTCAGAAAAAAGACTACATTTTAAGTAGTTGTTATAGAACCACACTTTTATGGAAGTCTTGAGGGAATGCTTGCTCTCAGAATATTTCTCAAAGCTAAGTGTTCCAGAAAGGAAAATGGGGAAAAAAGGTTATGCAACTGTAGACTTGAAATGTTGTTTAAGCTTGTTTTAGAAAGTGATCAAGTACTATGAAGCAGTTACTGTTCAGAACCATTCAAGGAAAGAATTTTAAATATTTGTGAGAAGGGGAAAAAAATGAAAAAAGGCTATTTAATACTAAAATTTCTTAAGCAGACAGCGAGGTTAAAACATGATGCACTTTTGAATAAAGTAGACAGAAAAGCACACAGGTACTGCAATTAAGCAGCATTACATTGGCCCAAAACAACCCCTCTTTTCTCAGTGTGGCTCAGGCAAGCCAGAAGGTTGGACATTTTAGGAAAGCAGCCTTTCCATTTCATTATCCAGCACTGATGAGTACTCCTTACCAAAGCTCTTTTCAATGATGACTGCTCTTGCTCTTTTATCTTATATAGTTTTAACTCTGTATCTTTTTCTTCAACCATTTTATCATATTCATGCTGTATTTAAAAAAAAAAAAAAGAACTTTTGTCATTGGACTAAATGTTATAGATCTGTCCAATCTTAAAATATTATTTATTTTTTTAAATAAATCTCTTCTGGAGCTTCAGGAAACGTTGTGAACACACACTGACACCTCTGCAGAAACAGTACAACAGAAACTTCACAAGCAGTGCTGTTTGTTATTCTGTAAGGCAACACAGAGTGCTTGATCTTTGCACAGTGATGTGTGCCCCAGTACATAAAGCTGGACACGTTATTTTTGTTAATGTGATCTGCTAAATGTGCTGCAAAACAGAGTAATAAAAATGTCCATTCAAATATGTTAAGTTATAATGCTGAAGATCACTAAAGAGTCTCCTGATTGAAAGAAGAAATTGAAAAATACTGAAAATATTGACAAATGTTACATTAGGACTACAAAGCACAAACTTTGCCTACAGGACTTTTTCAAAAAACCATTACCACCATCACATCTCAGTTATTACTGGGAGTTCAAACGTGCTAATAGATCACATCGTGTTAAGATTCTCTGCAGCTTACACAAATGGAATTTATGTGGCAGTAGACACATTTTCAAAATCTGAAGGTGAATTTGTTTTTAAAAGATGAAAAATCAAGAGTGTTAAACCTCATGCTTCCACACTTGGGTCTCTGATGAAGTTTTACTTTCTAACTTGTAAATTCTGGTTTTGAAAGGTTTTTATTTATCATAATATCCTATACTAGGAAGCTTACCTTATGCTTTTCCATAAGTGCCACCATTTCAGTTATCTTGTGTTGACATCGGATATCAGTTTCTCTCTGTGCTATTGTTGCTTCATCAGCAAGTAACCTCATTTTTTCTACCTGTTAGTAACAAGGTTCTTTTAATTAATGCAATCTATATACAATCCCATTTAGTGAAATCTTTACCTGCTTGGAAGATTCTTTTCTAATCCTGCATCTTCTACACATTTGTTGAAATGGAAAAATATAGATTAAAAATACATCCATTCTTCCATGGCAGACAAGTGTCATTCTGAACCACAGTGCAATTTCAAACACTTGTGTAACATTTCTTTTATATTCCAATTAATATCTTGACGCCAAACAAAAAAGTGTGGCCAGGAAAACAGTAAAATGAGAAACATTATTAACCTATTTGCTTATTCTGTACTTATACCAAGAATAGAACATCTGTGAACAATAGCCTGACAAAAAATATTTTTTTTAACTGGGTTCTTATTTTTAAAGACATGTAAAGAGTTCAGATTAAAGGATTTAGTGTTCTAAAGCTTTGCTCACTGGCATACATAAGAAGTTAAATTTATGCTTACAAGACTATTATGTAAGTGCAGGGAATCTCATGGATATAGCTTCATAAAATATATCAAGCATTGATCTTCAGAAACTAATTAAAAGTTATGAAAAAAATTAACAACTCTCACCTCTTCAAGTAAGTTATTTTCAGTTACTCCTTTTGCTTCAATTTCTTTTTCATAAATGTCAACTCTTGCCTTATGTTGCTTGTTCATATTTTCCATCTCTAACTGTAGCTTGTTCACCTTTAGAGAGTACAGAAGTATTGTTATTTGTTCAAAAATTAATATGCCCATTTGGTCTTTTTCCATTTTATTTAAGTAGAGCCACTCTGTACTTTTCAGGTATGTGACTATATTACTTCCTATTTAATGTTCAGTTTTTATCTTAAACAGTTGAACTTTGGCCTGAAGAGACTTAGAAAATACGTGTAGAAACATGACAGGGAAGACTGCAGTTCTGTCCATCCCAGTCAACAGAGCAGTCCTAAAACTAGAGCCTGCAAAGCACAAAGAATCATTACAGTATAGAGGAATGACCCAGCAGCAATCTGACACTATCCTGCCTTTTACACAGAAGACTCTTTAATATTGCTGGTGTGGAATGCTGGGTAAGAAAATGAAGCATAATCAGTTGTACAGTCATAGAATCCTAGAACAGCTGAGGTTGGAAGGGACTTTAAAGCTCATCCAGTTCCAACCCCGGCTGTGGGCTGTTTGTCACCCACTAGATCAGGTTGCCCAGTTGCGTGGCATTGCTGAGTAATGTTCAGTATTCTATCAATAAAAAAAAAGGAAAATAACTTATTAGGATCATCATTCCTTGATAAGTGATGTTTCTTACAAATATCTGAAAGCCCTATATCCAATGACTGAAAATTGAATCACCTTCCAAAAATCATGGGCTTATTTAGCCCTGTAGAATCCAATATCATAAATCCATAAAACATAGAAGAATGTGCTTAACGTTTTATCAATAATTATACAGAGACTTCAGAACTTCAGTAGTTGTGTTTTAACATCACCATATATATGACATGAATTAAACCTACCTTCCCTTCATAACTACTTGTTTTCTTGCTTTCTGCCGTCATTTTCTTTTTCAGTGCCTTGTTCTGTTAAAGGAAAATAATATCAATAAAAGTGAATAGGGCTATGAAATGTTTTAATCTCATACTGTAAGTCTGAATCCCCAAATTCCAGCTTTCAGCAAGCAAATAACTCTCTTCTTGTTCTCCACTTCAGATTCTGGAACAAATCTCCAAATGAAGGTGTTAAACTACTTTAACAAACAGATATTAAGGAATGAGGGTGTAGAAAAAGGAACAAAAACTAAGACACATAGTGTTTCCAGCTTTTGTTAAATGTAGCTTATATATAAATAAACATAATAGCATAACTGTGTTGTGCTATTAAGAAACAACAGTTATTGTGATCTATTGATTCTAAGCAAGTGGTTTGAGAATTTTATTCTGGGAAAATGCTGCTGACAGAAAATGTGCAGATGTCATAAAAAGAAATACAAACTTGTATATTTTTACAGTACAGTTACTGACAATTTTCCAAATGTATAATTCTTTTCTAATGAGATAAATAAAGTATGATATCATAGATCGATGACGCCACATGCTAAATGAAAATAATAAAAGTTTATTAAATATATTATTACGATAGTTGCATTTTACAAAAGTAAGAATGATTTTGCAAATCAAGTAATTCCAGAGGTGACCCTTCAGTTCTCTCAAAGGTAAGAAAAGAAAGGAAATGTTATGAATTACATAAGTATGTCTAAAGAAATCACACCAGACTAGGACAGCTGAAGAGCAACCTCAGAATACCATGTTTTCTGTGTTCAATACTTCTAAAAAATGTACTTACCTCCTGTTGTAACTCTTCAATGCACTTTGTTTTATTTTCCACCTGTTTCTTCACAGTATTCAACTGAAGGGATATTTCAAACATTAATTGTTAAAAATGACTCGATGTCTTAGACACTACTGTGAAAGTTCTAAAACATGCATTTGAAAAGATATGATTCCAGTGAGACTGAAACAAATGCCAACATGTTATAACGGTTGGAGTTTTTACCATGAAGTGCCACAAGAATTTTTCCAGCCCAATATCACGTAGTTTAATATCAGCTAACCAGGTCCTTATGAGAGAAATTAATTTACTTACCTTATTTTCTAGCATCTTCAACTGTCTTTCCTTTTTCAAAATTTCATTTTCAATACTCTTAGTCTGGAATTATAATTGTAAATCTAGTCAGAACATTGTGAGAACTTTTATACTTTCTTAAAAAAGAAAAATATGTAATTGCAGAATCGTTAATAAATAGTGTTACAATTTCAAAGCAGTTTCCTCAAAAATAATTAAGCTGATTCTGTTTTGTATTTATTTGTTAAAAAAAAAAAAAAACACCAAAAAACTAAGAAACCATCCCATGTCCTAAATACATTCTTTGAGTTTTATGATAAAATTTTGAAATCCATTGTGATGTTAAAAAAAAGCAGGTTTGATTTGATAATGGAGTAAAAAAGCAGTAACACTTAAACACATTCAATCTGAAGCTCATATTGCTTACTGAGTATATGAAAATAATAAATCAAATGAGGTTCTAAATTTGCCTAAAATATGGCAAATCTGGACATTCCAGGCAAGGTACTTGTCTTTTAAAGTGTTAGGGCTCAGGATATATACATATGTTGACTCAATTGGTAGCAGCACTGAAAGAATAAAACCTCTAAGAGAGAACATCCCTACGTGTAGGGCTCTGCAGAATAGAAAAAAAACAACATCTAGATTATATCCTACAGGTGATGTTATATTTCAAATGAGAAACCATATTACATTTTCTTCACTTTCATCCAGTTTGCTTTTAACCTCTTCACCTTTCTTTGCCATCTTCTCTCTCAAAGACTCCAGTTCATTTCTAAATGCCAAATTAACAAATATAAGTAAATGTATATTTAAGAATATTACTTTTTCAATACAGCTTATTTACTATTTATCCATGATTTATTTCCATATAAGAGACATCCACATATAATAGAAAGCAGCACACAACATTCAGATGAACCATGAAGGAAACAAACTTACTTCCTTTAATTATATTGTACACTGAGATTGACTTGCCTTAGCTGACCATTTGCTTCTTCCAGGTGTTCTACTAACTGCTTTATATTTTCTTCTTTTTCCCTTTGATCCTAAATAAATACCCATATGAAAAAAATAAGTAAAATTTGAAGTGACATCTTAATCAGTACAGTGACCTGCCACATTCACAAGCGTAACTGCATTTGTGTTGTTTTTTAAAGAAAAAAACAATTCAGATTATCTGCAGAAATATATCATCGGAGTTTACGAAATGATTTTTTTTTTTAACATAACCCTGTCCTTTGAAAACAGATGGAAGATTGCAACTCACCTCATGACTTTCCTGCAGTTTCTTGAGTTCTGTAGCCATATTACTTTTCTCTTGTGCCATTTGTTCTTTCTCTAATAACAGTGTATTGATAGTCACTGTTAGTTGCTCATTCTTTAGTCTAATTTAGGATAAACGGTCAAGAGAAATAAGAATGTATACTCTGAAATTTCTGTTAAAATTAGATTTATCTGTTATAAAATGTTACTTCACACTGAAAAAGTCCAGGCCTGAATCTGCAAATGCAATCTTTGCAACAAATTTAACATAGAGTCATAGTAACACAAAAAGGCGATAGGAGGACGAATGGAAATAAGTCAGTAGCATAAATATAATAGTTGACAAGAATGTAGTTTAACATCCATCTCAAAGCAGTTAATGGTGATTTCAGAAACACTCTAGTCATGTTAAAACAACTAAGACACTGAGATACAGTATAATTAAATGCACACATACATAAAATGTATGTTATAATTACAAAAAGAATGTAACGCTGTCTGTATAAGTTAAAAGTTTCCATAAGAAAAGAATCACAGATGATTTGGTTCTGTATTAAAATGACTTCTATGTAACACTGAAAATGATTAAATCAAAAATGATCATACGCCTCTCGTTCAAGATCTGCATTCAGTGTTGTGAGTTCTTTCAAATAACTTTGTTCCTTTTCAACTGAACAAGTCAGCTGTACTTTCAGATCACACATTTCTTTCTGTAGAAGAAAAACAATATTTTGAATGCACATAGATAAACTACAGTGCAAGGAAGCGGTAAGAATTGAACTGACAACACAAAGCTTTAAGATAAAACAAAGCCAAAGCCATAAACAACACAGACTTTATCTTTACATCGATCTGATGTAATGTGGAAGTATTGTGGGACATTAAACTCAGATGTGAATGAAAACGTATCCTCTATTTTGTAGCCTAAGTAGTCTGCAAAAGTTCTGACAAAATTACCTTTCCATGGGCATTTAAATAAAGTCAGTATCTTCTCTGACATAAGCTTTTGAATTCTCTTTATATTAAAAAAATAACAGAATTCTACCATTATGTAACAAGTAAATATTTTGGATGCATTCTGAACTACAAAGTGAAACCCTTCCTTCAGAAAGGTGATGTTGTTACAGGAGAAGGCAAATATAATTTAGATACAAAGTATATAATTTTATAATGCATAAATGCTTTGAACACTAATTCTTCTGAATAACTAGTGATACAGTGAAACCATAGGTACTGGTATGCAGTTCATTTAAGCAGAGAGAGAGAGAAAGCATGTGGATCAGTGTATATTTAGTTAAGCATAGCATATAATGAACTTCTGGAATTTCTTATCACAGAAGGCTGTAGAGACTAATAGCATGAGCAGAGAAACAAAACAGATGAGACAAGTGAATGCATAAGTCTATAAACTGATAGCAAAGGGAACTGACAGGGATGTGTCCTCAAATATCCTTTGAATACAGTTATTGTAGGAATGTATGGAGGATGTACCACAGCTAATAGCCAGGCTCCTCTACTACCTAGTAACTTTGGCTGTCACTGTCAGAAGCAGAATGCTGCAGTGGATAGACCACTGGCCTAACTCTACATGACATTTATTATGTTACATATATACGCATATAAAAGTAATGAAGTATTTACTATCACCCTTTATTCAGACCTCTCTGACTTGAAGAATATTTTTCATCTCTTTTTCTCTCTCTTGCAAATTTTCAACAGTAGCCTCAAGATCTTTCTTCTTCACTAGAAGTTCTTCAGCTTTTCCCTGTTTAAGAACATTGATGAAACTCAGTTTAGAAAATTCAATGCATAGCAGTACTTAAGGTACATGTGGTAAATCACATTTGGTAACATGCAAACCTAGTTTCCTGTTATCTTGTTTTAACTGAGATAGTTTCCTCTGGGACTAGTGAATACAGCTCATAACTAACATAAGCCTGTATTAAAAGTATTCTTCATATAACTCAGGTTTCCATAACAGTAAATGAACCTCAGGAAACTTCCCTATAAGGAGATGAGAACACCGTGGGAATACATCGTGTTATAACCATAAGACCTCCCAGCAGACTCAGACTCTTATATGTTTTCTCTAAAAAGGAACAGGTATCAACACAATAAGCAATGCTTCCTAGATATTGAACACTGAAGCATGGAGGAAACATCTCCATAATTAATACCTCTCAAACAGTAAAATAATTGTAATAGACGTGTGAAGTAAGAAACCCATGAAATCTATGAAATTGCTTATTGAATCCATCATTTTGTTACACAAAAGCTTTTCACAAATTCCACTGCCTTTTCTGGGTGGTGTCAGAAGCTGGGTTATCCTTTCAGTACCAAAGTAAGGCCAGCCTTTACAAGGTTTAATTTCTAAAAGATTATTATAAAGAAAGCCAGCCACTCAAGGAATTATATTTCTGTTGAAAACTAGTTGATCCTTCAGACTTAAATATTATATGTTTGGTGTTCACAGTGCGTGAGCTAATGCTCATCACACACACAAAGTATTTTTCAGAAAGGTGAGGAAGTAGTGAGTACTGGGCATAACTAAAAATAAGGAATCTTCATGTCCATGGAGAATGGTACTCGAATAGGCATGAATAAAGGAAGAAATAACCAGAAATCTTGACTAGAATAAATAAAACACATAAAACAGTAGAAAAAATCAGGTACTTCAAAGAAAATGGCAAAATAGTCTGAAAGACAGATAAGAAAGCAAAATTAAGGCATATTAGACAGTGTTTATATGTCATATAAGGTACCCATGAGGCAAGAGAGACTTCACATAAAAGGTAAATGCCATGAGACTAATAAAATGAACAACACTTACCAGTGTTTCAGACAGCTCTTCAAGTTGCATTTCTTTCTCACGTTTTAGTTTAGTCATCTCTTCTGCAGCATGTGCAATGTAAAGTTATTGAACAGATATTTAGTGTTACAGAATTTTGATATACAGCAGACAATAGAAATAATAAATCCGACTGCAGTACTCAGTTATCAAAACTTCTTGAATTAAGTTCAGAAATCTAAAAGCTTAATGATAACCTAAACTATTACTTAATCTGAATGTAGAGTTACATTATATATATATATTCAGAAAGTTATTAGTGAGTGTACATCTGAACAAAAGCTATGTATTGATTTGAAATAAAATACAGAGCTTATTATGCTCTCTGTAGCCATGTTTTCAAATACTATAGTGTGGACTGTATTTATGTATACAAAGGAATAGTCTTGGTGTATTGATGAATTTGTAATTTTCTAGAAAAAAATCCGGATATGCTGAAAAAAGAATCCACTTATTAGTAACTTTGAAATGTGTTTTCTACATGCACATTCACATTATTGGTATTTATTTGCAAGTACTGTGCATCAAGCTAATTTTTTTGCTCTGTTATTATTACAGGTCACATCTCACCTTGTTCTAGACAGGCCTTTATCAGCAATTTTTAAACAAATTTATATTCCCTCAAAACATATACTAAACCATGTTTCCTGTCTATCATATCAGGACTGCAGACATATGCTGCACATTGGGCAAACCGTACCAATCTTGGTTTGGGGCTAAGGAGTGCCTTTGTAGAAATCACAGGTTTAGTGGAAATGCAAAGTCATGGCCTGAAGCAGTGATTGAGCACTTGGTAGGAAGGTAGGGCCAAGCCAGGGGAGCTCGGCTGCATGCGGTGCACCTGAGTGCTGGAAGGGGTGGAGCCAGGATCCACTCCTTCCAAAACCTCATTTAAGGGTTAGCAGAGCAGGTGAGTTTATCTTGCTTGAGATCCCTGCCTGTGGCCTTCTGAAGGTAAGCAGCTTCTTTCCTTTATTTTTGTGCTCATGGGTGTTGCAGGTGAGCAAACTCTCACTTGCTCAGCCTAGGGCCTGCTGTCATTGTTGTGCTTTTCATCACATTACAACAAGGTATCAAAGTAATATTTGAAGCTAACTACTGTAAGCACTAAGGGGTAAGCAGTCTGCAGGAAAGCCTAAGGCAGGTGTTATATCTCTGCTATGTACTATAGAAGTTATTCTTGGAATCTATTGTTCAGCAGCCTAACACTCTCTCTCTGAAACTGGTTTGGAGCATTGCTTGTCTTAACTGGAATAATGTGAGAAACCAAAATGACTTCCAGGAGTGACCATGAATAAAAAAAATGTTATTACTACTGTATTCTTTCTTTCTACAAATCTTACCAAGCTCAGCAGACTTATTTGTGAGCTCCAACATAAGCAGTTTTGACTCATCTTCGTTTTTCTTCAATCTAATAATTACAAACACTTTCTGTTTAGTATACAGTATTGCTTTTGAAAGCTTAGGGACAATAAGACTGTCATACCACAAATGTTTTAAATAGATGCCTTTTTAACAGGCAGATACAGCTGTACCTCTTTATGAAAATCAGGAGGACAACGATTTATTTTCTCATAGATCAATATTAATCAGTATAATTTTAAAAATTACATTCTCTGCACTTAGGTTGATGCGCCAGAATATGAATTTCACCTTCATCTCCCTTTATTCTTTAGGTCTGTTGTAGCCTGTAACTACTTAATGCCAGGTACACAAAATTGCTGTTCATTGAAAAACTCAGTTGTGATAATATTAAAATACACATCTACTGTTCTGTTCCCATTTTTAGAAAAGTTCATTTTAGTTGCTAAGGGTTTTTTTTTTTAACATATGCATAACTTTTAAAACTACAGAAGACCTGAAAAACAGGAATAGTAGAGATCAGTATTAAACAGTACTATCATCACATAACAAATAATATCTTCTTCATTAAAAGTTTCATTATTAAAGAACACATCACAAGTGAGATGCCTGCTCTGTTAGTCAAGAACTGCATCCATACAAAACCAAGCAGTGCAGCCATGTGCAGGGAGATCTAGTGGAGGTTGAGGGCTGTTGGAACTACATCATCTTTAAGGTTCCTTCCAACCCAAACTATTATATAACCATCTTTAAGGGCTAATAATGCAAATAATTAGGTAGGCAAAAGACGTATATATTTAAAAAAAAAAAAAAAAAAAAAAAAAAGGAAGGGAGTACAAAGAAGTGATATCTAAGTTAAATGATGACTCAGTGACTAAACTAACTTTGATTAAAAAAAAAAAAAACAAACTTATTGCTGATTCAAAAAAAAAAACCAAAAATTTCTTGCACCAGACCGTCACTTAGATTTTATTCCCAGCAGTTCTGGTATTTTACCTGTAAGAACAATCTTTGATTGTAAACAACTTAAATTACCTATTTTGTTCTTCTTGCAGCAAGCTTTTCAAATTGTAAGTAGAAGTCTCGAACTCTTCTATCATGGATGCATGCAAAGCCTTTGCTTCTTTACATTCTTCCATCTGTGTTTCTTTCTCCTGAGTGACCTGAATTAATGCTTTCACTGTACTCTGCAGTTCAGTTTCTAAGCTCTCTCGAGTAGCCTACAAAACAATTATATGATTTCCAAACACATAATGTAACAACCAGTTACAATTGTTCTGCGTCTAGAGTATCAGCAATTATTTTTGTGGTATAAATAGATTCTTAATTGCATAATTACAAACAAGCTATACCTCTGTTTTTTGCAATGAATTTTTAGCTTCTTCCAGTTCTGCCTTTAAATATTCTTGATTGAGCTGAGATTCCTTTAACATTTCCCCTTCATGTCCTGTGTAGAAAATATACAAAATTACATTTGGGAAAATAATGTTTCCTTCAAAATGCTTCAATTTGTGTTCTGCAGATAAACATATTCCTACAACTTAATCAAGTTGCATAATGTATTCATATAATTTTTAAGGAAAAAACTACATGAGATGATTATTCAAATTAATTAGCAATTGTATCCAAAATGTAAAATTGGTAACATCTATAAAATTTAAGAAAATACAGTCACTCATGTATCTGGAATAAAAATGACACTAAACTTGCCTTTTTACTACCCAGGGAAGGGGAGACCAAGAACTGTCTCAGTTCTAAAGAACAAAGGTACTTGTATCATACAGTATAAATATTTTGTAATAGCTTTAGAAGTACTGAAAACGAAGTTCTAAAGCATAAGTTTTCCCAGCCACACCTGATTCTAAGTGTGCACAACTGAAGTATTTTCCCCTGTCTTCAAAAGCTTTCATTGCTTGACTCATCCTTGAGACAAAAGATCCTTTCAAAATTACTCATGCTTCTGATCTCAGGCTTTTGCCTGTTTGCAAATATGATCCCATTTAAAAGCTGTAACACTTGGAGTTACTTGTCAAATATGTGAAAATGTGTCTTGTTGAACACAGAACACTTATGGACTTCTGAACAGATATGAGATGATTGAACTTAAATAGATTAATGCGGTAAGCAGGAAAACACTATTATTTCCACATGTTTACTATCCAAACCAGTGGAAACAGAACAATCCCAAGAGCACAGGCAGGGCTGTGTCATGCTCTGGTGTATATATGGCACCTTTATAGCAGCATAACCATGTACATGCAAGAGCATATGGAAAAGCAGGAGAAGACAAGTCCTGCACAGTGAAGTTCTCATGTCAGTACAAGAAGAGGGTGTTGTCTAAGACTGAAGAGTAAAACTTTGTTATGAAATAAGGGCCTGTATTTTATATAAAAGGAGAATATGCTAAAAGTCCAGTTCACACCAGCAGAATCTTAATTGTTTCCAAATGAAAATAAGATCTGCAAGGTCCCAAATTCTCCTGTTAACTACTACCAGGATGAAATCATCATCGTTTCTGTTTTCCATACTCCTATAACCAAATGTATTTTAATATAGCAGAAATAATTCTTACTTTTTGCTTCTTCTAAGTCCGTAATCTTATTTTTTGATTCCTGCAGGTGAGTCTTGATGTCTCTTATTACATCATCTTTTTCATTACACCTTACAGTAAGAACTGAAATCTAACAAAATTAAAATAATCACACAGGTCTAAAAAAAGAAGGTAGATTTTCGTCTTTGTTTATTCACATATGAGTAGTAAACACACTGCTGTAATTCAAGTTAAATAAAGTGGTCAGGTCTTAAAGCACTTCAGTTCAACATCAGAATATGAATTCCAACAGACTAAAGATACCAGAATGTCACTAAAGGTAGCAGAATCTGATGGACATACAGCTCCAACTGTTATCTTTCCCATCTTTATTCATTCAGTAATGAATGCCCCAGAACACTCTGTGCATCTTTGCTATGTCACATCCATCCTCAGAAAAAAAACCAACAGTGTTTGATCTTCCTGTACACACTGCTTTTCAGTCTCTTGCTTACAAATTAGAACTGTATCACAATTAAATTTTCAATTCCATCATCCATTACAGATGTCTCATCACTACAAATGCCTACTCCAGTCTTAGGCTCCTAAACCTCTCCTACTAATCCACAGCCTGCTATGGGTTATGGTCATTCTTCTCACCTTTCTTCATAGCAGATATGAACAATACCTGCTTTCTGGTTAATTTTATACTTCTGCATAAGCTGCTTCTTTTACAGGCAATCTTATTTGGTGCTCATGTGTTACTGCTAAATCCCATCACAGAAACATCCCTCATTACAATACGGCAGCCAAATTCAAATTTTATTCCAAATAACTAAAGGAACACACTATCTGAATGTAATTTGCAATATTGATTCCCATCCTTCCAAACTACAAATATTTTGCAAATAACAAGCACTTTTAGAATGATAGTAATATCAGTGAGTCATGAAAGCAGATAGACATCAAATATTAATGAAACTGCAAGACTTGTGGCAAAAAATGTCTGTGCATATTAGATTTTAAAACTGAGCAAACCTGCTTTTCCTTCATACTGACTTCTAGCTTGCATTCTCTTTCAAAGTTGTCCATTTTTTCTTCTGCTTCTTTTACTATTGATAAAAAAAAATCAAAATATCAATATTTAATATACTAGCTAAAACTCCAAGAGAAATGCAATTTTTATTTAAGATTGTTTACAATTGTACAACTGCACAATTTGTTTCCTAAAGAGGCATTGTTGAGGTCGTTTTTAAAATACCTTTCTAATCAGACAAAATACCATTTGTGTCAGCTTTCCACAACATTATTCCATTACTACATGTATTTGTTAATAGATTGTTATAAGAAAAATGGCAGAAGTATGTTTGTAAAAATGAGGCAGGCCCTTAGTGGTAGATAAAGCAAATACTTGATTAAAATTTCTGTACCTGCATACTAATGCATTAACATTTAAATAAACCAAACGCATAAAATATGTAGTAATTTCCAAACTGTACTTCATAGACAAAACTAAAACTTTTAGTGACTATTACAAAAATAAGGTTTCAATTCTGACCTAGTAGAAAAAACAATGAAGGGCCCAGACACAGCAGGCAGCATCAGTAAGACAGGGTCCAGACTTTCAGTAAATTAGTAATTGTATTGATGGAACAATTAATCTGATGCGAAACTTAAACAAGAAGTATAAAAGTCTAAAAGGAAGCCTCCGGCATTGCAGTAAATCTACCTTTCCTAGGAAATTTGAAAGGCTTATCCCAAATTAAGAGAAGCTGAGGCGGTAATAAAGTCTTACCAGAGAAAGTAGTAGGCTATACCATGAGGAAGACTGTAACTCATTTTATAGGAATAAGACTCAGGTAAGAAATAAGAGACAAGGTTCCCTTGTCAAAGTGACTGAATTTAGCTGGTTATCTCCAACATCTGTTCCTTTAAAGTAAATAGTGATAAATGCCTTCTATCACTCTAATATCATGCAATGTGGTTCTAGGACATAGTGTCAAAACAGTATTAATGTTCACAGTTCACCATTCTAGCATCCAGCCTGCAGCTGCAAGCAGTAGGATCTGTGAAGCCTGCAGCAGAAACACAGTAAGCACAACTCTCACATTTGAAACACATTTCCAGTCTGGTGTTCTCTGCTTGCACGCGAAGCTCTTCAAATGCCACTATCATTCTCTAAAAGTAAAATTTGATACATACATTTGTGTAAAACTAGGTACTTTCAGTAATAAGGAGCAATGTTTGTAGCATGTTTAAAAAACAAGAACAACAACAAAAAACACCAACAACAACAACAAAAAAAATCCACCACTATTACACACTTATTTATGTACATATAGGAAAAAAAGTTAAAATCTTTAGTCTGAGCATAAACATACTTTGAGTTAACAGATGCTGTTTTTTTGAAATTGGATGTTTAATAAGTTTTATTTAAATAATTTCAAGGATGAGATATCTTTCTTGGTCCTAAAATAATGGAGAAGGTGTTGTGCCTTTCTTAGTTGTTACAATGACTGATAATAACTAACTGTTATTCCATGTGCCCACTGACTCTGTTTACTATATAAAATTTGTCATTGACAATGATGCCTCATATTATAAGTGACATGTACACGTAATCCAGATATTTCAATGCATTTAACTTGGATTACATTTGAGCTTTTTAACACACCATGTCACTTACTTCAATGTTGTTATTAAGTTCCTCATATAGTTGCCTTGTTTCTTCTCTTTCATGTTCATCTATCAAAATAAGAATGTATGATAAAGTTATCCCTTTGGAAAAGAATGCCAGCTGTTCAAGTCATTATGCTTAAGCAGCATAGTGAATTAAAGGAAAGGAATTTTAAAAAGGCTCTTTTCCTATTTAAAACAAATAAACAAAAAAAAACCCAAAAACAACAACAAAAAAAACAAATTATGAAATAGTGTGCCAAAAGTTGTACACTTTATACAAGACAAAGTTTAGCACTTCCCATCAGCAGATATCCACGAGCACAGAACTGTCATTACAGAACTGTTACAATACTTCACCTTATAACGACTTCAGTTTTTGAATTTGTATTATTTTCCCGTAAGAAAACACATATAGAAAACAGTGAGAAACACAGCTACCGTAGGAGCACAGTAAATGTATACACAGCTATTTGTATTTGTCAGACTAAGAGTTATATACTTTTTAAGTATCCAGGATCAAGACAATCAAATTTTGAAGATTATCACCACAATTTCGAATTTCATATAAATTAAGATCACAAGTTAACCACATATTTTTAAAAACCTTGAGAATTTAATTAGGTTAGCCAGCTTTCTTGGATTGCCCAATTTAGTGTGAAGAGTTTCTAACTGCTCCAAACAGGAGCATACCGACTCCCAAAGTTTTTTAAGATGGTAATGATAAATAAAATCAATTATACTGCTTAAAAAGAGGTATGAAGTGCCACCTAATAAATCTTTATATATTCAAGGTATATGGAAGGGACTGCCAAACATGACAAGATTTCAGGAAACTAGCACTCCTGTCCAGTAGTTATCAGTAGCTAATCAGTATTGCTTGCAGTGCCTAAACTTGTATCAGGATTTAGGTAAATAAATAACTCCCAGGCATGTAACATTTTAGCAAACATTCATACTAACTTCAGAACACCCCTGAATTTAGCATTACAAAACAGTCGTGTATTCAAATTCTTGCCTTATATCTGAACTTGACCCTGATGCACTGAACCTCACATAGCTTTATTCAGAACTTAACAAGAGCTTTTTCATTCATGAGTTTAGAGAAAGTTCAAAGCAAATTTACTTTTATAAATCAAGATTTAAACAGCATTTACATTTGGTGGACTTCTCTGTGAAGTGACTACAGGTTTCTTTGAGTAGGTTACACAGGTGTCTTGAAGCACTGTTTCTAAAAGAAGACAAATAATGCTATAACATGCAGTCACAGGAAGGTATGGTACTTTGTACACTTGTGTAGTAATGATGTGAATGCTTTAATTCATTTTATAATTTAAGATAAGTTTAACTTTCTATACTAAAGCAGCTCTCAGTAAGAAAATCCATTCTTTTTACAAAAATATATTTGGCCATTACTTACTCTTTTAAAAGATCTTTATTTTCACATATCTCATCTTCCAGTTTCAAACTTAGCTTTTCATTTTCAAACTAATTTCACAGGAGACAAATATAAAATAGATTGTTACTGGAAAATATACTTGAAATGTACTTTCAGTTTTCAAATTTCATATGAAAAAAATATTTATCTGCACCCAGAGACAGAAATCTGCTTTATCTGACATTATGTACCAAGACATCTTTTCTTACATCTTTTATATAATTAAAGCAATAATTCCCCAGGAACTGAAGCACTTAAAAGCATCCTATCCAGCCATACATTTGCACACTGTGTGCGTGCCTTCTCATAGAACCATCTTCTTAAGGCAAAAGTTAAGTGATCAATGATGACTTTGTTTGCATTAGATTTGGTAACCTAACAACAGCAACAAGAAGTAAAAGGGCTGATAAATTGTTCAAAACATGTATTTCAGTCACAGAGCTCTGCACTGTTACCAACTAGATAAAAAACTGCTTTCTGTGTGTGCTGAGCATAGAAATATGCCTTGGCATAGTTGACACAGACCAGGAGCATGAAAGCTTATTCAGCCTTGAATAGGTTTCTGCAGCCCCACAGTATGTTGCATGTGTGAATAATCCAATAATAGAATGTGCATCGTTAAAGAAAAGGAACCTATTTTGAGAAACAAAAGATGCACTTTTTTCCTTTCAAAACAATAGAACCATAAGTTATTGATTCCAAGCCAAGTGGTTTTTTTAAATCATCACAAACTGTTAGAAATTATTTCTTCAACCTCTATAGCAATCTTTAACTGTATGAACAATATTTTCACACTAAGTCAGGAAGAGCTTTCTCTTTCATTTACATATTAAACACGTGTGTACAATACTGGCCTGCAATTCTTGAATGGCTTTACGCTGTGCTTCAATAATCTTCCTATTTTCTTGAAATTTTCTTTCCTTCTGCTTTAGTTCTGATTCTACAGCCAGTTTCCATCGCTTGATCTTTTCAGCCTCTTTGTAGAGTTTCGAATACAATTCATTGATTGTTTCCATATTCTATCAAAACAAGTTCCACAATTTAAATCTCAAATGTTATGAATAATGTTTTATGTACACATTTATCTCTTAGAAATATCACAGCAACCCCCCCACAGATGGTGACACAAAATTGTAAATGCAGGAAATGATATTCATGTATCCGCTGTGTCTGTATCAGCAGACATCACAGAACATGTAAGTGACACAAGCACAAGTGAAAAATATCTTACTGCCTTCAGGTAGTGATATTACTGAACTGATAGCTCTAAAGATATCATAAACTGCACATCACCAAAAATCCATAAAATTTTGCTAGAATTATCAGTGGAGCCAGGATTCCTTCTGTTAGGCTCTTCATAGAACATTCCTGCTCTTGTAAGATCAGATCCTGCTAGTTTAAGAATCGCAGATCTTGACACATAATGTATTCCTGCAGCTATCTCATATACAAAGTAACAAAAAGTACAACCAGCCTTGTGCTCTTAGAACGTCTTCAAAGCACTGTACAAGCCATGCTTGATCAGAGGCTTGGGCAGGTAAGAGTAGTTACAAGGCAGTTCTGTACGTGGGTATATTGTCATCTAATGCTGTCCTTCTTTTGGCAGCATTGTAGTATTTTTACAGTTCTGAACATCTAGTTCTAATATCTGCTAGGGCTAAAGAAGTTCAGTCCTCAGGGATATGAAAATCACTAAAAGGTCTGCAAGAAATAAGTTCTATTTTCTTGCTGCCACCAGCATTTCCTTCCTAGGCAGCACAGAAAGCTACCACAGAAAAATTAGCTTTACTGTTATACTAAAGCAGAACATTGGTAAAAAGAACATAGAATTAAATGCTTGAGACAACCACTCCACTAAAGACATTGCTTTACAGATAAAGCCAGACAAGGGAATTGGAATAATCTACTTGGTTTTCCAAAGGATAATCTTGACTTCAAACCCTTGTGCCTTCCAATTCAGAACCAGATTCACAAAAATATTCAATTCCTAATTGAAACTCCAAGACTTCCCAGGCACTATTGCTTTTGACTTGGAAATTCTCTTAATATCCAAAGATTTATCTGAAGGTCTGTTCATTGAATATGAAATAACTTTTCTAAATGACATATTTTCTGTGACTCCTGTTTAAAGCTAATGATTCCCCTCTCACTAGGTCCTCTAGCACCAGAGTGTGTACTTAATAATGCTTTAAATTAGGAGGCCCTAAGAAATTAAATATGAAAGGTTTATACTTAAAAGCAAAGTTTATACTTGGCTGACCTCTTCATCCACCTCAGAGCAAAGTTTTGTTTGCTGTGAAATTGAATCTGAAATGGGAAAAGATTTTGATCAATGTATTTCCAGAAAAGCAAACAAACTACAGCAAAAAGAGCAGTGTGGCTCTAACAGTATTACAACTATGACATTATAAAACTAAGGAAAAATATGCAGTATATATATTATAGGTGTATATATATTATAGAAATTATGTATCTATAATTTAGATATTTTATATATCTAAAAAAATATATTTTTTTAATTAAAATAAATGCTTACATTAGCCTTACCTGCATCAGTGATTTCACCATGGCTTGCTGCAGTTGTCATTACAAAAGGTAAATTAAAATCATCACCTGGGCATTTGTTAAAACCCTGCAAAATTTAAATATTACTTTCTTACAGGTAGCTTTGCAAAGAAGGATTATAAAACTCCGAAAAAATACAGCTAACATTTAAAAATAAAAATAAAGCATTTCCCATTAATGAAGCTGCTATTGACTATTCTGAAAGCCCAAAGGATGAGTGCTGGCTTTGGAGCTCCCCTACTTGCTTTACTTCACAGCAGCTTTTCCAACAGCTGGACTTTCTCTGTGCTTTACAGACTGTGGTAGACAAGTGGATGTTTCTAATGACAGTTATGAACTCAGTAGCTACTGAATGCTTGTTCACAGTTATAAAGGATAAAATACACCTTTTTTTTTTTAATATATATTTTTGCTTTATTCCCAGCAGTACTTCCGAAACACATCAGATTAAAGTTGCAGCACAAAAAATTGACTTTACAAGGCGGTTTGAAAGTCAAAGTAATTCATCTTTTAAATAGCATAGCTCAGCTCCTGTCAGGACACCATACATAAATCTAAATATGTTTAATAGGAAGTGTCAGTACTTGTGGAATTCACATAACTGCATTGCAGCATTGCTTTCACTGCACAGCTGACCTGGTGGGGCTGTTAAATCAGAGGGTAATGCTGTCTATCTGTGTGTACCTCTCACAGCAATGAATTAGTGGCACCAAACACAGACATCAATTCGTCATCAGTGCTGTACAGTTAAAATACACGGCCGAGATGCTTCCCTCTGGTTTTGTTGGGGGAAAATAGAATTAAAAAAAAAAAAAAAAAAGTAAAAGCCTTTGAAATTAAACTCGAAGTTGTTCACAGGCATCCCTCCAGCTTTCATTCATTTCAGCGCATTAATAAATTCATGCTTGTGTTCTCCTGGCTTCGCGTGGGCACGGCTCCCGCCGGGCAGCTCGGCGGCTGCGCCTCGGTTACCTGGCACGGCTCTGCGGGCCGAGCGCTGGTCTGGGGTTTGACCGCAGACACCTGACCGCCGCTCAAACGCGGCGGCACGAAGAGTTTAAACGCTTTTCCTTTTTCCATGGCTTCGAAGGAGCGGGTTAAGGGCTCAGAACCGGCGCCTCATCGCGGCCGCGCCATCCGCCCCGCCCTCCCTCTTTCTCTCGGCCGCTGAGGAGAACAAAAAGGCGGGAAGCGGCGGCGCGCGCTGAAGGCGGGACGGGGGGCGGATCGCACCGCTGACGGGAGCGCTGTGGCGGCGGGCGCCGCCTAGTGCAGCTCCCAGACCTCGCAGAGCAGCGCCGTCAGCCTCGGGTCCTTCGTCCGCCACGTCACCAGCACCTCGGCGTGGGTATGGTTAAGGGTGCGCAGCTGCGTCAGCCGCCCGATGAGGCGGGCGAAATGCTGCGGGTCTTCGGGATGATGGATCTTCGAGTACTTGTAGAGGATGCCCAGGAACGGCTCCTGCAGCTCTTCTACGTGCCGCTTGTTCCTCAGCAGCGGGCGGTCTGCGGGGGCACGAGGCACAGCGCGGTCACTGCGCGCCCGCCGCCGCCTGAGGGGGTGCGGGGCAGCGCGGGAACCGCCTACCTGAGAACAGCACCGTGGTCGCTACGAGCAGAGCGTACTCGGTCTCGGTGACTTTCAGTTCCCCCATGCTTCTGTAGAAGTAAAACAGCGCGGTGATGAACTCCTCGGTTATCCCTTGAAAATGGAAGAGGATCGTCAGAGCGTTATTGCGTTAGAGGCAGGTGCTGCTGTTGGTTTGTCCTCTTGTTTTAAAGTGCCGGGCTTTAAGCACATAGCAGCTCACAAACGTAAAAAAAAAAAATTAAATTACTAAAGTAGTAATGAAAAAGGGCTGAAAAATTGCATGAGTTGCTTCTGCCATTCGTGTGTGGTGCCTGAGGGTGTTACACACTGACACGTGTGATGGAGAATAGAGCCAGCCGTGCAAAATACCCCCAAGGGTTGCAATCTGAGGCCATTTTACCTGTGGTGGTGGTGGAAGTCGGACTCTCTTCGCTGTGAGACATTTGAATGGAATACATGTTCTTGTCAAGGTTTGGAACGTGGCAGCACGTTGTGTGGTCAGAGCGTCTGATGTGACCTGGAACAAGAGAGGTGACAGCTGGCAGCTGAGCTTAACACAGCTGTGCATGTTGGGTGTGAATCTGCTTTGGGACACATCTCTAAAGTGTGCAGGTTTTTATCAGGTAGGGAAAAGAGTTGCTGATTTTTTTGGTTTTTTTTTTTTCTGCATCCTACACTGAGTTCATTGGTTACATTCCAGTTGGTAAAAATCTTGTGTCAAACTTGAAGCAGTATAGCAGTAATGTAGCTAATATTAACCATCCACCTCATAATTCGTGCAAGCTCACAGAAGCGTTGCTTTTTGTTCAGAATGGAGTAAAGCAAAAAAACATTTTTAATTTTTTTTTTTTTTAATACTCTATGGAAAAATGCCTCTAGAATCGTAGAATTGTTCAAGTTGGAAAAGTTGGTGACTGTAAAGATCATCAAGTCCAACCACAACCTGACCATACTAACTCTAACTACCCTCTACTAAATCATGTTCCTGAGCACCACATCCAGACTGTTTTTAAACACATTCAGGGATGGTGACTCAACCACCTCCCTGTGCAGCCCATTCCAGTGCTTAACAACCCTTTTTGTAAGGAAGTTTTTCCTGATATCCAACCTAAACCTCCCCTGGCACAACCTGAGGCTATTTCCCTCATCCTGTCAGCTGCTACTGCAATCAGCTTTCAGGTATTTGAAGAAAGCAATAAGGTCTCCCCTCACCCACCTCTTCCCCAGACTGAACAGCCCCAGTTCCTTCATTCTCTTCTTGTAGGCCATATTCTCCAAGCCCTTCCTCAGCCTTGTTGCCCTTCTTTGGGGGCTTTTACATATTGCTGGTACTATTGTAAGTAGTGCTGTGCTTGAATAGGGAATTGCTTCAGATTCATTAAATTGGAAGTTGTATCAAAATGGCTGAACTACTGGTGTTTATAGAAAGCCTGTTAGTCCAACTTACTTTCACTTGATGACTGGCATTCATTAATTCTTTGGTTGTATATCTGAGCGGAACACAAAAACATGGCCTCAACTGTTGACCCTTTTAGCAGCGCAATTTGATCTTCACTAGCTAAACTTTCAAATCCTGCAAAGAGAGAGACTTGTTAAGAATCAAGGCTGTGGCTGCCTTTAAGCATCTAAAGTGGTCTGATTTCTATCTCTGATTTTTTAAATAAATACCTTTAATGAAAAGGAGGATCCACTGTTAAAAGACTTTTGTACACAACACTATCTAATGCTGTTGCTTTTCTTCTTGCTAGTTCGTGGGCTAGAAACAAATTGCTGTTGTCAGTGTCCAGCGTATATCTTTGTTGCCTACAATGAGTTGCAAACTGAACTGGATTTCAGACAATTTGTTAAAATGGGAATTCACTCATGGTGGTGTTTTAAAGTCAAAGTACTGTCAGAAAAACATCTCTATTCCATGTCAGAAATTGGGAAAAAGTAGATCAGAATAAGCTTTTGAGAAAATGCTCTAATCTGTTCTCACATTGAATAAATGGTAATCCCAATTGTTAGTGTAAGATCAAGTAGTCAGTTGAATGAGTTTTCTTAAAGCCTGTATTTTTCTCACGTTGATGCCGTGAATACAGCTTCTGCTCCTTAAAAACAAAAAGTCAGACTACTCCATAACACTTCCCAAAGGAAGGAGTTTACCTGGGAGTCTTTTTGTGAAGTCCACTAACACTTGTACGTGGACAACTGCTGTCTCAGAGAGATGGAGAAAGCTTTCCTCAGGACTTGTGGTTTCTTGTAGCTGCATGAAAGAGCATTTAGACATCTGATACAGCCAAGATACATTGCCTAGAATAGTAACAACTCAGTAACAGAGGCTGATTGCTCTGCATACGTACAAACTTCCTTGCTTCCTCGAGGGGAATTGTGTATTTTTGGTGTGCTGCTACGATGTGGTCAAGAAGTTGATGTTCCCCTGGAGTAAGTTCCACCTTCTCCACAGTCTAATAAAATAAACAAATAAACCAATCAAACTGTAACGAGTTAAGGCAAACTAAATGACAAAAAAGTTATTTAAAATAGAAAAAATGTCCCACTTTTCCAGATCTTGTTGTAGATGATACATGCTTACTATTCAGTCCCTCATCTTCCAGTTTTATGTTGCAAAGTAAACTGCTCTTTTGTTTGAAATTCTTTCTGAGTCGCTTTGACTTGCACTGTACTTCAGTCAGCAAACCTGTGAGGCATGGAATTATGGATTAATGCACAACTTTTTTCAACAGATAACAATTTGAAATCAGGAGATATAAAGAACTATGCTTCCTGGAGAACATGGAATTGTGCTGTTGATTAAGCGAGTTGGTGTTCTGTATCCACAAAAGGCCTGAGTGTTTGCAGTCTTCCCATGTTACCTGGTTTGTGACTGGGACAGATGAGTATGAGAATTTTTCATAAAGGTTTTGTGCAATTTTTTTAATGCTTTATTTTTCTTTCCAAATGTGAACGCATATCTGATAAGCTTGGATAGCTGACAGCTGTCCTATCAAAGTTTAGGGAATCTAGCTGTCTCGTTAGTACTTTCTGCTTTATTTTGTAATGCCTTTGAACAGCAGTCCTCTTAACTTCAGGAGCTACTTCCCAAGTATTGGTAGGTTCTGCACATGAAGATGCAGTGCTACAGACTTAAACTTTCCAAAAGTGAAATTAAGTTCAGATGAATACCACTTGGAATCACAGGATCATCTAGGTTGGAAAAAACCTTTAAGTTCATCAAGTCCAACCATCCACCTAACATTACAAGTCCTCTGCTGAGCTGTGTCCCTGAGTGCCACATTCACACATCTCTGCCTTCAGGGACAGTGACCCCACCACCTCCCTGGGCAGCCTGCACAATGCCAAACCACCCTTTCAGTGAATAAGTTCTTCCCATCTTCCAATCTGAATCTCCCCTGATGCAACTTGAGGCCACTGTCTTGTGTTCTGTCACTTAAGCTATAATGAGATAAGGGATTGGCTATAGAAAAGAATTTATCAGGGGGAGCACTCACATTCTGCTAGCATTCCCACAGCTCTGCACTTCTTCAGGCGACATTCCTGGCACTTCCTCCTCATGTACATGTCCATTTCACAGTGACCACCATTCTTGCATCGATACACTGCATTTTTGGTTATGCTGCGTCTGAAGAAGCCTACAGAAGAACATGAGGTTATGACTAAAGGAATTTAAGGAGATTTACTTCATAATTCAAAGTTTTGTTATTTTCTTGACAATGAAAGTATTACCTTGGTTTCAAATTTTCTTTGTGATGAAGTGTTTTCTTTATGATGTGTTCTTTCTGACTAATATTAATTACTTGTTACAATTACAATTAATTAATTTCTTTAACTGATCAAGATAGCTCCCATATTAATAACTGAATTAATAGCATACTAACAGCTAGTAAGAACAATAATGATTTATAAATAAAGAACTCTAATAAATGACGATAAAAAAATAAGCATCCACTTAAACAAGTACTATTCCAATGAATACTCAATAGGAAATTCAGCTTTATTAAATGCTCCTCTTGAATATATACAGAGAAAACATTTCTTCAAAAATGTTTTAAAAATGTGCATCTGAAGGTATTGTGTTAGACAAAGGGTTCCTTAGGTTAATTACAGTCACCCATAGAAAAATCAGTTTAATGAAGTGTGTTTGTTTACATGGCAGGTATGCAGTACTGCTCTGAGCACTGTGCAGAAAGGTACAGATGTGCCTCTTACCTTTACAACCTTCACAAGTAAGTGCATTGTAGTGGTAACCAGATGCTTTATCACCACAGACAACACACAGCTCTTCCTGTCCCTTCAACCTCAAAGAAGAGTGGTTTAATCTGGGCCTTTTTAGTGCTTGAAATCCACTGTCATCAGGGTGGGAAGCCGTGAAAGGAGGCTTGCTTAATTCACAGTTACTGATGATGTATTGCCCATCAGTGTACTGAGAGTCCAGGCTGTATGGACTGTACTGGGACTGTGAAGGTTGTGACTGTAATACTGGAGAAGGAATTTGAACTGATGAGTATTGACAGTAAGGTGCAGTCTGAAAATCAGTGTCTTGGAGCTGGTAATTGATGTGCTCTGGTAAAACATCTAGATAAAAGACGACAAAAGAAGAAGTTGAAAATGAAATAAAAACCTAGGGAATATCTTGATGTCAGCTACCTGATTTTTTTAATTAAAAAAAAAAGGATTTTTTAAGTCAAATAAGCAGAAATATTAGAAGAACACATTTTCTTGAAGACAGTCTGACGTACTCTTTTAAAACATGCTACCTGTAACTATAACTAATATTGAAGTGAAATGTTAAATGTTCTAGAAATGGCTTCTTAAATGCTTGGGCAATGACATGTGACTGACATGAATTCTTGATGGTAAATACTTGAATATTCTTAACTGAGTATATAGCTATAAAATTTACACTTAATTATTTTTTATTTAGTTGTCTGCATTAAAGGAGAATGTTTTCTCATAAAAAAAAGAATATTTATTAATGAGTGAAATGTTTATTGTTGACATATATATTTCAGGCATAATTTTGAAAATATTGTACTGTAAGAATCTGAGAAACTACAGAGTGGTAAAATTTACTGTGGTGGGAGTCTCAAAGTTGAAACTCAGAAGAGTAAAAAGCAAAGACCTGTTTTATTTAACATTTTTCCACACTTAATCCTTTATAATTTTAATTATTAAAAAAAAAAAAAAAGTATGCACAGAATTATGAAGAGGGCTTCTTCCTTTGTTCCTGCTTTTCTGGTTGTAGTATTTGAATTTAATCCAAGCCCCCTTAGATGCACACAGCTGTAGTGAAGAGCTCATGCAACAAGTATTGTTTTTTATTGTTCAGATCTCTGTAAAAACTGGAAGCTTTTCTAAAACTGTTTTGTATGTCCTTTGGTTTTTAATGGACTTTAAGTACTGCTTTAACTCACCCCTAGTCAAATTAGTTATCACAATTACAGTTATATAAGACAGCCATTATATATTTGTAACATATTTGGAATGCTGTAATAAGATCTGTATCTTCTTGGTGTCAGTGAAAGGAAAGCAGCACCACTAATGTTTATATGAAATGATCAGTTGGCATAATCACACTGTGTACAGAAATCTGTACGAGCATATGCTCATATATTGGAATACTCTTTCTGTTTGACATTGTTAGTCAAATACATAGCTCCTAAGAGCTTATAATGTTATGCTAAAGTTAAGAAAACAATGGGAATTCCCGCAGACATTCATCTTACTTTACTGCTTTTTCACAGTATTACAACTTAGCATTACTTACCATAATACTGTATGGGCTCAGCAAGACAGTACCCATCTGGTACAGTGACAAATGTATTTGCCATGTTTTGTTCCCAATCTCAATGTTTCATTCACTTTGCTATGGGATAAGCGTTTTAGAAAGAGACCTAGAGAAATGGAAACATAAAGGGAAGATGATGGGAGAAGGAATTGCTAGGTAGGCTCACCTGCAGAGCTGAACCCAGGAAACTCTGGAATATGAAACTATTTGCAGACTGTAAGAAAGATAGAGGTATGCATAAAGTCATGTAATACTTGCAATGAGTGGGAATTTGGTGTAGAGTCCATTCATAAATTACAAAGTGTATTTAGAACTATTTTGTTCCTAACTTTACTTTGCTAGCCAGGCAAGAAAAGGGATTGTCCCATTTCTCTGCCCAATGCAGCCTCACCTCAAGCACAGGGTACAGGTTTGGGTGCCATAGTGTAAGAAGGACATAAAACTATTACAGAAGTTGTGACAAAAATATAAAATAAAAAAGTCTATATAGATGCTAGCAGGAATGATATTTGAGCTTATATATGTGTCAAGGCAATCTATGGCATTACTTGAACAGCTGAGTGACGTTAGGGTAGCTGACACATTATCAATTAAGAAATAGTTTATTTGTCCGCTTTTCCTTCTGTACAGGGGGAATGTGTGCCAGCATCCTTGGGTTATAATACCTTGTGTCTGACAGCCAGTGAGTAAGCTCTGTACAAGACACTTTGCCAACGAGCTATTCAAAGGCTTTCTATGAAGAGATAGGAAGGAGAATAAAAATTAAAAAGGCAAGTGTTTGGAAGCAAGCAAGAAAATGAAGCTCTTAGATGTGCAACCAGACTCTCTCTATGTGTCTTGTAGAGTTTATAGCAAATTGGATTTAAAGATCTTCCGTGAAAGACTCACATACTGGATATAAAGCAACACTTACACACAGCTACATACATATATGTAAGGAATGCATTGCTTTAAGGAGTCTGATCTAAAGTTGTATCCCTTCCCCAAAACCTGACATAGCTTTGAAACTGAACACTTTGTGTTGCCAGTGGAAGGTGAAAAGGTACAGTGAGACTGGAATGCTGCTTTTTTTTGTTGTTGTTATCTCTGCTAGTAAATATTTGTTTGAAAGAGAAATTACTCATTGAATCATGAAGTCCTTATCAGTTAGATCAATTTGGTGTGGGCAAAGTCTGCATTTTTTCTAAAATATGTGTATTTGATGGAGAAATGTGTTTCTGGGTACCAATGGTTCCTTTAAATAAAGTAATAAAAAACCAGAACCTAAAATAAAATTGCATTGATCCAGTCTGACGCAGATCTTGCATGAGAAGCATGAGGTACACATCGCTGGTGTGGGGTGGTCAGATCATTTCATCTCCTACATCTTGCTATCATTTAGCCAAGTTTTCCTCAATTTAGAGATGTCTGAGAAGGGTTTTAAGGATTTAGCCCTTCTTGTTGATTTTTTTAATGGCTAATAAGCTAGCAGCTGCAGACACAGAGTTTCCAACTCAGAGTAAGATTTTGTAAATCAAAACATTTAAATTACAAGAATGTTATAGCAGAATTAGTACTAAATCTGTTATTTGGGGAATGCTATACCACCTTGAAATGAGATATAATAGTCATAGCACCTGTGTGTAAATTTTAATGGTTTCATTTCCTGACATTAGAGAACATAATGCTAACAAGTTTGTTCTTCTGATATGGAATTGCTTTGAGCCTTTTAAAACCAAACTATAGAAAACAAGACATATAGGGATGGAACTTAATGCTCTGAGACTGGAAAGCTTTGATGATTTGTAAGACTGACTGTCAAAATCACACCTCTGCCTCCCTAGATTATTCCTCCCTATATGTTTGATAAGTCAGCAGTATGGAAGCCTCCTCCGAACTTCAGGTATTGATAAACTGATGTGATTCTTCATATATTTGTCTATCAAAAATCCAGGTGATGTCCATAATCTCTAACAGCTCCCCAGGAATGCACCTCGATCTCAAGGACACTTCTTCAGCTCACACACACATTCATTAACCCTTTGCCATGCAAGCAAGTAAACACTCCATGCACACAGAGGTGAGCTACGCATTGTGAAATCATTAAAACCTTGACAGCATGTAGCACATGTAGCCAGTAGTAATTTTCAAAACAAAAAACTTGGACAAGGTTGAAATCAGACTGGGGGAACAGCTTTGGGTGTTTTGTTCATTTACAGTCATGCCATTCCCAAGTCAAAATATTTTATCATCATTATCATGGATGCCCATTTTTCTCTTGTATATTTACTCAAAATGTAGCCATTCTTTCTGTGTGCTTTAAAAATAGGGAAAAAACAAAAACACAACAAAATATTTCCTAGAAAGGACTCAAAAAGATCTTTAGCCTTAAAAGTGGGAATAATTGAAAACAAAAGCAGCTGCATTTTTTAATAACTTGTTCCATGGTATCACAAGCAATACAGTTTTGAGTCCTTTATGAGAAATTCTGACTTCCGAGTAAATTTCAACATGCCATGTTGTGCCTTCCTTTTCCTTCTTCACTGTCTACACTGTTAGCTATTTCTGCTGTATTGCTGTGTGTGAAATCCTGAACATTTGGAGATTACTTCTTCTTCTTTTTTTTTTAGGAGCCTCCACCAGCTGACAGATTCTTCTCCCTTCTTCTGAAAAGCTGACCTAAGAATAAGTTGCTTAAGTTCTTTTGAAGCTGTTGCACTTTTGCAGATTTATTTTTGACAGTTATCAGTTTTCTCAAATAAGAATGTTCAATGTAAACTGTAGTGTGTGTTTATTCAAAGCACTGGTTGTCCATCTTATACAGAAATTCAGTAATATTCAGTTATTAGTCCTAACTGGAAGACTTCATGATATCAAAATGGAAACCATCAAGTAGTTAATTGATTAAAAAATAACAACATTTCAAAACAATTTTTGTTTACTGTTGTTCATGGCAAGAATTGTTTTTTGTGGTTTATTTCTTTTTTTTCTTTCTTTCTTTCTTTTTTTTTTTTTTTTTTTTTTTTTTTTTTTTTTTTTTTTTTTTTTTTTTTTTTTGCTATAAAGTACCACAAAATAAAGTAACATTATCAACTGCTATCAAATTTGTTAAGATGCAGAAAACCATTGCTTTCAGGAGAGGCTCTAAGGAGCTCTTAAGGAGTTATGTTATGACAGTACTTTAACTGCTATCATAAATATTTTGATAGTTGAGTCACAGGGAAATTTCTTGTTTGCAGGGAATTTTAGGAACTCAGCTGAAGTTCTACAATATTTATTTAGCATTCCTTGTGGCATGTTAACAAACAGCGTAACTAGAAGGTAAGTTTAACCTCTGTAGACTCACAGTAATTTTGCTTCTGGAAAACATAGTTTTGTTTTTCAACTGGTGAGGTTAAAGTCAACAGAGTACAATCAATGGCTACTAAGTGTAATGCCAGGAGAAATACTGAGTTTCAATCAAGCAATTAATTAACAGCATCTGTAATTAAAGAGTGTGGATTTTTTTACAAGGAAAGTTGTAGGATCATTTGAATTGTCTCATATGCAGCTCATATGCATTATTAAATTTTTAATTGGTTTTCCTGGTTTGAATGTGCTGTGAAGCTCCCAAAAGCTGCTGCTTGAAGAAATCCCATTTTTCTCCTCATTAACTGTGTTCCTTCTTTGGCATAAAATACCCTTTTGAATCTTTCCTGTAATATAAATGACTTATTTCACTACTTGAGTTGCAGACAAAATCTGTTTTTGGAATTGTTTCCTCATTACGAATTATTGCAGAGGTATAGTTTATATCTATTGTAAAGTAAAAGGTTGGATGTTGTTTGAAACTTACAGCTTTCCTGGTACTTTGGGGAAGGTAGACAAACCACTGAATTAAAAATTTATTTTACGTCCTTACGTTCGTCCAATGAAATTGTTGGAAAAAGATCTTGATAGCTAGGATACTTCATTTAATAGTGCTTGTTTTCTATATTAATTTAGCTAAGACTTTAAAAAGAGAAAAAAAAAAAAAAAAAATCCACAATACCTGTAATATTTTCACCTGGCAAATTGATTCATGACTACCACAACAATTTATAATCCCAGAGCACTAAGAGAAGTAAATGAATTACCTACGGCAGTTGCAGAGCTTTTCTTGTTTCCAGAGCAAGTCCGTGGGCTGTAGCAGTGATCCCAGCTCTGAGTCCAGCTGGAGCGAACTGGGCCTTCTCCCTATTTATCAGTTTGTGTGCATACACTCGGCTCCAGACAATCTGCAGAGCAATGCTACAGCTCTGAGACACGAACTTCCCACACAGCCTTTCCTGGGGTCGAAGCGAGGGCAGCTGCAAGTCCACATAAATCAAATAATAACTGGGTCATCAGGGACAGAGGCCATGGGGACCTTCACGTCATGGTTTCCCAGAGTTCTCCCTGACTGATTACCAAGTATTTGCTTTCTTGGTAGAATTTAAAATTCTCCCATTTTGATTGCTTAACGTTGACATGCCTGAGTGTTAATGGAAGATGTTCACTGCTTTGCAGAGAAAATACTGCAATGGTATAAATTCAGTGTATGTACAAGAAATAATAATTGAATTTGCAGACACTTGATTATGTTGGTATTTTGAAACAGAAAACACTCAGCAAGTTCTACCTGTTCTAATTCTAACATACCTGTGCAGGTGCAGCATGCAGAGGATTTCTGCAAGTTACCATGCTTTGCATGGGTCTGTGGCATCATGCACAGCAAAATGGCATTACCCTTCAAAGAAGAGCCGTGTTTGTGTTCAGCAGGTTCCAAAGAACAGCATGTTATTTATTTTCATACAGTCTGACAACATTCAGGAATCCACGAGTGTGCCTTTGGAGTAGGAACTGTTGAATTTGGCTTGCAAGAGAATAAAAGATTGCCTCACAGATGTTATTTGAGGATTTGACAAGATTTTTGAGCTTTCAAATGCGTTGTATTGGTCATGTGTGCTCACCAGGGACTGAAATGCAGGGGTTTTGAAGTATGGACAAAGATAACAATCTTGAAAATTAAACTATGAACAGCATTTGTCTTCCCAGTAAAATAACTTTATTTGGAACTTTCTAAGATATCAAAAAAAACCCCAACAACACCTTCAATAGTAAAAATAGAAAGTTTGTGATTGGTAGAATAGAGATATTTTGCACAGCATTTCTTTCACAAATACCATTGTCTTTTTCATCCATCTTTTTTGTCTGTCTCATGAAAAATAAGCAGAGATTTATGAAATGTTATCTCTTAAATACTATGGACTTCTAAAGCTTTTTGGGCTTTTTTTTTTTTTTTTTTGATAGAAGATAGTTCACTGGCAAGCTATTTAAACATGCCTGTGGGATGTAGGTACTTAAAGCCTACTGATTTCAAGTGTGTTAAGGCTGAAACCTAGGTTTTCAGAAGACATCTAGCGCTGCTTCTGCTCAGTACTATAACAGCTTCTGGATTCAGGGTAGATTTCTGAAATAACTATACAAAAACCTAGAACTAATCTGTAGTAGAAATTAGTAGTAGAGTTCCACATTAAATATTAGACCATGCCTATTTACTCCTATCCACGTGGCCATCTTCACAGTTGTGATAAATGCACAGTTTTGTAATAAAATTATTTTGCAGAGTCATGCAGTGATTCAGAGGAGTGGTCCATTGCAAATACATTTATTCGTACTATTTTAGCATTCTTTCTCCTTTTCAAGGCTTAGCGTGGAAATAAAACACGGAAAATGAGAGAACCCACTTGAATCACATAAAGAACTGCTGCAAAGAAGAGAAAAATAAACTGTTTTCCATATTTTTAAAGAATACAACAAGCAATAAAAGCTTAATTAGGAATTAATTAGGAATAAGGAACATTTACTATGACAGTAAAAATATCCCTGGAATAATTGCTTATACAGTCCTCATTACTGGAGATTCTGAAGATCAGGTTGGACTACATCACAGAACTCAAAAACTGCTATCTCATAGTTATTTTTTTTGATCCAGAAGGAAGAGAAAGGAATGGTAATATCTCTTCCAGCTCTAGTTTCTGTGATTTGTTTCAGATTTTAAGACAGTGATACTCTCTCTGATTAGTAATGTTCCTAATGCCATTTAAATAGGCAAAGGAAATCAGATAGTTTGAATGTGCTTTGCTAGAGGAGAGGAAACAAAATGTTATTCATAGGTAAAGACTGCAAATATTAGCTGAAAAAGCTCCAGAAGTGCCAATGAAGTGGAGTATAAGGGGCACAGAACATCTGAACACCTCACACTGCACCACTCCTGCAGCCTCATTCCATCACCAGTGTGAACTGCGAGCTTCTGTGAAGTCTCATCTCCATGGGGAGTCTTCCTTTCTGCAGGTAGGTCTAAGAATTTGAGGAGTGATGAAACTGCAGATTCAGAGAAATCTTCCCTACATAGCTGCCTGTTGAGAGAACTCATTTTCAAGGTGCAGAGAAATCTGCATTCATCAGAACTAGTGATTCTAGATCTCTGTAACTTGCTTGGTATTTGAATAGTTAAAGGAAATCCTATCTACTCCAGCTGGGTCTTCTCTGCATAACTGACCCATTCGGCTTGATCTGGTATTGGATTGTTTACGTAACTTCAGTAATTAACCACTCTCAACCTCATTAATGAAACATAAACCACCTCTTCTACTCATTTATTAAGCCCTTGTCAAACAAAACTTAAACAAAGGGCAAAATCTCAGCAAAGGAACAGTCCAAAAGCTACTGGGATCTGCCTACAAGTCGTTACGGCCACTTTGTTGTTGTTTTGCAGTACAAATTAAACAGAAGCGATGGCATTGTCTATTGCTTTTGGCTAACATCTCACAAAAACATCTGAGGTCTGTCACATGAGGGCAATGATGCCTCCACAACTATTTTGGTCATTTCAGTGCAAAATACCAATGTTCCAGTTCATTACTGTAAATCATTAAATGATGAAAGCAAGAGTCAAATACTAAACAAATGGGATACTTTGGAAAACTAATTGCTTATTACAGTGTACTTTGTTATATGTGAGTTAAAGGTTACGTTGAAATATAGATTATTTCATTACAGGATTAAGTTGTTCCTGCTAGCAAACTGTTCTGAGTTGTATTAAAAAGAGTATCAACCAAAAAATCAGATGTGCTAAAATGTTCTAAGTTAATCTTTACCTATTTTTGCTCTAGAGAAATGTTTTAGAGGTGGGCTGGCAGACATACAAAAAAACATTGAGCTACTTAAATTTAGAATCTGTTGAGGAACTCGTGGGAAAAATAAAAGGAAAGAAATGGCAAATTTTCTGATTACCTTCTCTCACAGATTATTTGTTAATCTCCAAAAGATGCAGTGGTTCTGGCACTGCTTCTTGCATGGCATGGATGAACCTCAGCCCTGAGTGAAAACCAGTTTATGTAGTTGTTATTCTAAAGTGTAATTAATCAAGATGTTTGAGGGACGCCTGCATTTCTATTGTCAGCATCTGCCTCTGTTGCCTGCAACAGGGATCACCTTTGTCAGGTCACTTTTAGCTATAGAAAGTGAGTATAACAGGGCAGTGCCTGTCTTTTCCTTCATAAAGATATGGCCCCAATGGTTGGGGCCCTAACCAAAATGAACTGCTTAAGATCCAGTGTAATACTTGTAATAATACATGTATGTGTTCTTTGTATGATAAGTTCACATGTTTTAAGTGTGCTGATTTCCGTAGCTTCACAAAGTGTGTGACATTTCCTTTGGGCGCTGCTTTGCAAAGCTCTTATCTTCCCTACATGGAGCTTTTTGAAGCAGTGTTATTCATCTGCATAAATTAAAGAGTAGCAGTCTTCATAGAGCAAAACAATCTGTTTCAGCAGAGGAAGGAGTGTGAGACTACTCAGGGAAATTCATCAGGCAGTGCCTTTCAGTTTGAATTAATACATTACTATACATTATTTACTTTGCTGCCAGTTTCTGGGTTCATTAAGGGTCTTACCTGGTGCACACTGTTTTA